GCTTGAACCCTTGAACCCAGGAGGCAGATGTTGCAATGAGCCGAGATTGTGCCACTGTATTTCACCCTGAGCAACAGAGCAAGACTCCGTCTCAAAACAAACAAAACAAATAAACAAAAAGAGTCGATGACATACAACAATTTAAGTATTAATTCATTTAATTTAACCAATTCTATGAAAGTTAGTTAGCTTTCCTAAGGTTGCACAATTATTAAACAGATTGGAGATCAGGTATACTAAAACTCCAGAGTCTCACCCTTAACCATCACACTGTACTCCCTTCAGTCAAGGTGATTAAAACAGTCACTTCTTTTAAGCAATTCATGGGAATGGGAGGAGCGAAACAGATAAATAATTTATGCCATAATATGATAAATGCCTTAGTAGAGCTATGCATAAGAGACTATGGGGATACAGAGGAGAGACTGTTTAACTCTGTCTGAGGAGATGTATGTATACCAAGTCCTCTTTGGTCTTTCCTTTGACAAATAAGCAGATATTACAGCTTAAAAACTATGGTTAGGCCAGTCACAGTGGCTCACACCTATAATCCCAGCACTGGGAAGCTGAGGCAGGAGGATTGCTTGAGTCCAGGAGTTTGAGTTTGAGACCAGTCTGGGCAACATAATTAGACCCTTGTCTACACACACACACACACACACACAAATTAGCTGAGCATGGTGGCATGTGCCTGTAGTCCTAGCTACTTAGGAGGCTGAGGCTGGAGGATTGCTTGAGTCAGGAGTTTGAGGCTGCAGTGAGCTCTGATTGTGCCATTGCACTCCAGCCTGGGAGACAGAGTGAGACCGTCTCAAAATAATTAATAATAATAATAATAATATTTAGGTTCTGTCTAACCCTCTTGTGTTGCTGTGGCTATGTTTTGATCTTTGATTCCTACTGTTGCAGCTAAAAAATATTCAAAATACAGATTAAGCTTCCCTAATCTGAAAACCTGAAATGCTCCAAAATCTGAAACTTTTTGAGCACACACACGGCTCCACAAGTGGAAAATTCCTGGTAAAAAATAATTTGAGGGAAAAAATAAATTTTTAAAAAAGAATATATATATGTATAGCGAATTCCATACCTAACCTTATGTGACAGGTTGCAGCCAAAACAAAACCAAATAACACACTGCTTATTCAGCATCCCCAAAGGAAAAAAGGCCCTTGCAGCTCCCTTCAGTTACAAACTTTTCTGAGTTTGCCCAGATTTCCTCATGCAAGCATGCCAATGAAGGGTAATAAAATGGTTCATATTCAGACTGGTCACAGCAACAGCAGATTCCTCATGATGCCCTGCATGGTGCCAAGACCTATATGCATTATTCATTGTGTGTTTTTGTTTGTTTGCTTGCTTGCTTATTCTCTGCTCTTTGGTATAACGATGTTGTTAAAAATATCAAAAAGGCCCACAGATACCCCTCTGGGTTATAGTGATAAGAAAAAGCGTTAACATTTATGTTTATCTATTGCACAGAAAGCTAAGGTGTTGTAGAACCTGAACAATGGTTTAAGTGTGAAATATCTTACAGAGGAGTATGGTGTTAGAATAACCACTATATATGACCTGAAGAAAAAGAGGGATAAACTGTTGGAGTTTTATATATATCAGAAGTAGTACATATGAAGTGGAAGTGATGAACAGAAGTTAATTAAAAATAGGAAAACACTGCATAAAGCTGAAATGAAGATCTCAATCATGTATTGAAAGTGCATCCATCAGCATCACAGTAAATACATGCCACTTCATGGTATGCTGGTTACGAAATAAGCAAAGAGCTATCATGATGAAGTTAAAATGAAGGGAACTGTGAATAACGAACAGGCCAGATGCAGATTTTTTTTTTTTTATGAGACAGAATTTCGCTTTTGTTGCCCAGGCTGGAGTGCAATGGCGTGATCTTGGCTCACCGCAACCTCTGCTTCCTGGGTTTAAGTGATTCCCCTGCCTCGGCTTCCTGAGTAACTGGGATTACAGGCATGTGCCTGGCTAATTTTATATTTTTAGTAGAGATGGGGTTTCTCCATGTTTGTCAGGCTGGTCTCCAACTCCCGACCTCCAGTGATCCACCCACCTCAACCTCCTGAAGTGCTGGGATTACATGCGCGAGCCACCGCACCTGTCCCATTTGCAGAAATCTAAGAGAAGATGTGCCATTATACTTTTAAAGATTAATGGTGATTTAGCATCTACTGATTACGAAGCAACAAAGAAATTCATTGACAAGTTTGCCAAGGTCATTGCTGTTGAAAATCTGACCCAAGAACAAGTCTATAATCCTGATGAAACAACACTGTTTTGGCATTACTGTCCCAGAAAGACACTGATTGCAGCTGATGAGATGAGAATTAAGGATGCCAACGATAGAATAACTGTGTTAGGATATGCTGATGTAGCAGGCATGCATAACTGTAAACTTTCTGTGGTAGGCAAAAGCTTCCTTCCTTACTGTTTTCAAGGAGTGCATTTCTTACCAGTCCGTTATGCTACCAAAAAGGCATGCATGGATCACCAGGGATATCGACATCTTTTCAGATCGATTTCACAAACATTTTGTACCAGTGGCTCATGCTCACTGCTGAGAGGTTGGACTGGATGACAACTGCAAGATTTTGTTATTCTTTGACAACTGTTCTGCTTATCCACCAGCTGACATTCTCATACAAAATAATATTTAGGCCATATACTTCCCCTAAATGTGACTTTATTAATTCCATGTGACCAGGGTATCCTTGGATCAATGAGAGTAAATATAAAAACATTTTCTTGTGCTAGCAGTAGTGAACAGAGGTGTGGGTGTGGAATGGTTTATTTAAAATTAACCACAGATTGTTCCCATGGATGATTAACATAGTGACTCCTTTGCTTTCTGAAGGTTCAGGTTACGCAAACTTTGTTTCATGCATAAAATTATTTTTGCTGTGTTGCCCAGGTAGTCTCAAACTCCTGGGCTCAAGTGATCCTTCCACCTGGGCCTCCCAAAGTGCTAGGATTATAGATATGAGCCACCATGCCCTGCCAGAAAGTTTTCAAAAGGAGTTTAGCCATGGACACCTTATATGCTGTTGCCAATGCTTGGAACACAGTGAATAAAGATAAATTTGTATGTGCCTGGCACAACCCCTGGCCTCTGACTATGTTTAGTGATGATAATGAACGAGGCGGTGACTTTTAAGGATTTCGTGTGTTGACAAAGTGAGAAAAAAAGTGATGTCTGACCTACTTACATATACAAGAAAATTGCCTTGAATTTGTGAGTAAACTGAAAGAAGAGGATATCAAAGAATTTTTTTTTTTTTTTTGAGACAGTCTCAACCTGTCACCCAGGCTGGAGTGCAGTGGTGTGATCTTGGCTCACTGCAACCCCTGCCTCCCTGGTTCAAGTGATTCTCCTGCCTCAGCCTCCTGAGTAGCTGGGATTACAGGTGTGTACTACCATGCCCGGCTAATTTTTGTATTTTTAGTAGAGATGGGGTTTCACCATGTTGGTCAGGCTGGTCTCGAACTCCTGACCTTGTGATCCACCTGCGTTGGCCTCCCAAAGTACTGTTTTTTAACACTGACCATGAGGTTCTAGTTGTTCATAGTTGACCAACGGTGAAACAGCTGAAATGGTTCTGAATCAAGGTGATCATAATAATAGTCATGATAACAATGAAGATGATGTTCACATGGCAGAAAAAGTGCCCATAGACAACACGATGAAAATATGTGAAGAGTTTATTGAAGGATTAGAGCAGGGTGCATTCATAACAGGACAGGAAATCATGTTCGTTTATAAAATCAAAAAGAGACTTCCAAGACAAAAACTTGTTAATGAGGCACATGACTCTGGAGGAAACATTTAAAAAATCCATACAGCAGAATGCCTCCTCATCCCTAGAGGACCCAATTCCTGGTCCTTCAACTGCTTCTGATGTTTCTTCTCACCTAAAAAAGGAAAAAAAAAAAAAAAAAATACAGTGTATGGTAACCTTTTAATCAAAACACAGCGAGGCTGGATGCAGTGGCTCGCACCGGTAATCCCAGCACTTTGGGAGGGCAAGATATGCGGATCACTTGAGGCCAGGAGTTTGAGACCAGCCTGGCCATTATGGCAAAACCCCCTCTCTACTAAAAATATAAAAATTAGGCAGGCGTGGTGGCACATGTCTGTAATCCCAGCTACTCGGGAGGCTGAGGCACAAGACTCACTTGAACCTTGGAGGTAGAGGTTGCAGTGTGCTGTGATCATGCCACTGCACTTTAGGCTGAGCAACAGAGTGAGACTCTGTCTGAAACAAAAAACAAACCAATGAGACGGGTGGAGACTAAACACCTGCCTTTTTGTTGCTGTTTTTAACAACTGATAGAGATTTTCTGGTGATGCTACTATGTTACTTACCCTAACCATATTATTTTTAATTGCATTAGTGGTATTTCATATTCTTTACTGTTACATACTTACATATGAATAAGTGTAAGAAAATGTTTACTGGTAGCCTATAAATTCAGAGTCAAGAATGTTGGTTATGCCAAACAACCACAGATTGTTCCTGTAAATGACTGAGAGTGGCTCCTTTGCGTTCTGATGGTTCAGAGTACACAAACTTTGTTTCATGCATAAAATGATTTAAAATATTTTGTAAAATTACCTTCAGCCTATGTGTATGAAGTGTGTATGAAACCTAAATAAATCTTATGTTTAAACTTGGGTCCTATCCCCAAGATACCTCATTTTATATATATGCAGATATTCCAAAATCTAAAGAAGTCAGAAATCCAAAACATTTTTGGTCCCAAGCATTTTGGATAAGGGATATTGAACCTATACCATTCATTGCACTCTTTAAAACACTTGTAATGTCAATCCCCCGCATCCCCCCCCCCCCCCCCCCCCCCCCCCGCCTCAGCAAAAAAAAATCAGGATTCATTAGGTGTATCTTATTAGAATTAACTTCTGGAAAAGTAAAATGTTCAAAATATCTAAGTAAATAGGGTTTAAATTTTCACAGGTGCTGGAGAAAATTTGGAGAATACGATGGCAGCTTTTCAGCAGTAAGTATGTAAAAAGGTACTGTTTTCTTTTACAGTTTGCAGGTTTTCTTTAAAGTGATGATGATCCACAAAGTGAGGATAGTGTAAGTGTAACATCCATTTGTGATAGTTCTTTCTATTTTATTAAAATTTATTTTTTCAATTAGTTGGTCAGAAGTGTTTACAAAGAGTGGCTTCTGTATTATTGGAAAAACAGATGGGAGTTTAGGGTAATCAAAAGATACTATAGTTACAAAGCTGAAAGAAGACTTTGTAACAAGGAATGTACTGTGTATAATGCTAATTAGTCTTGGAGAGAAAGAGAAAATGAAACAACTGTTACAGTGGCTGCTATTTATGAATAGGATTATGTGTCTTTGTACTCAGTAATTTTTGTACAGAACCGAACCCTCAATCTGGTTTCTTCTTGGAAGCCTCAAGATTGTTGATTTTTTTTTCAAATAAAATACATTTTAAAAATTCCTATTTATAAATTATTTCATATAAGTGCCTTTTAGAGCATCTCACAGAGAAGCATCAAGAGAGACAGGAATGGAAACTAATTAATACCTTGTTCTTTGTCTTAGAGTCAATGATTATCATCAGTCTATGGTAATTGTGAGAACACTGTTTTCCCTGAAAAATAAAGCAAAGAATGTGAAAAGTTAAACCTAATGAAAGACATTACCTATCCATATTTAGTAAGATAAAATTGTTTTTGAGACGGAGTTTCGCTCTTGTTACCCAGGCTGGAGTGCAATGGCGCGATCTCGGCTCACCGCAACCTCCGCCTCCTGGGTTCAGGCAATTCTCCTGACTCAGCCTCCTGAGTAGCTGTGATTACAGGCATGCGCCACCGTGCCCAGCTAATTTTTTTGTATTTTTAGTAGAGACGGGGGTTTCACCATGTTGACCAGGATGGTCTCGATCTCTTGACCTCGTGATCCACCCGCCTTGGCCTCCCAAAGTGCTGGGATTACAGGCGTGAGCCACCATGCCCGGCCTAAGATAAATTTTTAATATAATTTTTGAGCCATTTTAATGTATGTAATTGGGACTAAGAAATCAGAAGAATTTGACTTAACTTTTTGTTATGTTTCTCACCATTCAAAGACATCTTAGAGATTATTTTTCCTATTATAATTAGGTACAAAGTTACTGTTTTTTCATATGCTAGTTTCACCTAAATCCCATCTTCATTGTATTTATCATCTCTTATTCTCGTTGTATTCTATGATCTTAAAACTCTCTTACAAAAATTTAAATTTTTGACTGGGCGCAGTGGCTCACACCTGTAATCCCAACACTTTTGTATGCCAAGGTGGGCAAGTCACCTGAGGTCAGGAGTCCAAGACCAGCCTGGCCAATGTGGTAAAACCTTGTCTCTACTAAAAATACAATAATTGGCTGGGCATGGTGGTGCATGCCTGTAATCCCAGCTACTCAAGAGGCTGAGGCATGAGAATTGCTTGAACCCAAGAGATGAAGGTTGCATTGAGCCCAGACTGCATTGCTGCACTCCAGCCTGGGCATAGAGTGAGACTCCGTCTCAAAAAAAAAAAAGTAAAATTGTTCCTCCTATCACCAACCATGAAATGGACTATTTTAATTTAAATTACTTTATTTTATCTACTTAGATTATATATCTGGCTAGCTAGCCATAACGAAATATAGATATGTGTTATGTGTAAAAATTCTACAACACACACACACACACACACACACACACACACACTATCATATATCATTGGTTGCCCATGAGGTAGGTGATACATATAACTTCAGAAAAAAACTACTTATAACTTTGAGTGATTTTAGCATTCTTCACATTTAAGGTACATTATTTTATGTTTTTCTCAATATTTTTGTTAAATTTTTATCAACCACCATTATTTTTGAAATTAAAACACTGGGTTATACATTATTTTAAAGGATGATACATTTGAAAATATCACAGTTTTTTTTAACCTTTGAAGATTTTGATCCTCTGAACATTTTTCCTTCTATAACTTAAGATGTTTTTGGAGATTTTTCTAGTACTTCAGAAGAGGGGAATACCTCTTTCATGTGCTATTTTTTTCTTGTTTGTTTGAGACAGAGTCTTGCTCTATCACCCAGGCTGGAGTGCAATGGCACTATCTCGGCTCACTGCAACCTTCACATCCTGGGTTCAAATGATTCTTCTGCCTCAACCTCCTGAGTAGCTGGGATTACAGGCACCCATCACCTCTCTTGGCTAGCTTGTGTGTGTGTGTGTATTTAATAGAGACGAGATTTTACCATGTTGGCCAGGCTAGTCTTGAACTACTGACTTTAAGTGATCTGCCCACCTCGGTCTTCCAAAGTGTTGGGATTAAAGGTGTGAGCCACCACACCGAACCTTTCGTATGCTATTGTTAATGTTTGTTAGATGTATTTATTTGTAAGGCGGCTTATCTACTGACTTAGAAGTTTGTATGAAACCCCTCTTTTACTGAGTTTTTTTATTAGTGGTGGTGGTTTGTGTGTATGTGTTATACATTAGTGCCCTTGCTAGGAATACATACTTTTTTATTGTACTTTTAAAAATTACAAATATTTCTACTGTTTAACTGCTAGGAAACTTAGAAGGGGGGAGTGTATGTGTGTGTGTGTGTGTGTTCAACATACTTGTTTCATTGAAAAACAAGAAAACACTGTTTAAACATACTGTTTTGGCCAGTCATGGTGGCTCATGCCTGTAATCCCAGCACTTTGGGGGGCCAAGGCCCATGGGTCACTAGAGCTCATGAGTTCAACACTAGAAAAAGTACAAAAAAACAATTAATCAGGCGTGGTGGTGTAACCTGTAGTCACAGCTACTCCGGGGGCTAGCTTGAGCCTGGAACGTGGAGATTGCAGTGAGCTGAGGTGGCACCACTGCACTCCAGCCTGAGTGACAGAGCCAGACCTTGTCTCAAAATAAATAAGTAAAAATAAACATACTATTTTCAAGGTACCGTATATTAAAATACTAAAGAGTTGTAATATACAATCAGGAAAAGATTCATACTATGTTTATGTATGGTATATTCTTGATAGGATGGGTAGATGAGGGAGAGAGAGTAAGAATAAAATGACTTGCTAAAACTTAGATCTTATTTATGTACATATTTAGATGTACATTTCACAAAGCATATACATTTCAAAATGGAGGTGAAGGCCGGGCACGGTGGCGCACGCCTGTAATCCTAGCACTTTGGGAGGCCGAGGTGGGTGGATCACCTGAGGTCAGGAGTTCAAGACCAGCCTGGCCATCATGGTGAAACCCCATCTTTAAAAAGAAAGAAAGAAAGAAAAGAAACAAATTAGAGGTGAAGATGAGGAGATATTAAAGACAGCATACACAGCCGGTATGGGAAGCCTGATTAAAATTAACCAGAAAAATGCCCGGGTGAAGTGGCTCATGACTATAATCCCAGCACTTTGGGAGGCCGAGGTGGACAGTTCACTTGAGGTCAGTAGTTCAAGACCAGCCTGGCCAACATGGTGAAACCCTGTCTCTACTAAAAATACAAAAATTAGCCAGGCATGGTGGCCCATCTGTAATCCAGATGCTTGGGAGGCTGAGGCAGGAGAACTGCTTGAAGCCAGGAAACAGAAGTTGTAATGAGCCGATATTGCACCACTGCACTCCAGCCTGGGTGACAGAGCAAGACTCTGTCTTGGGAAAACCACACACAAAAAAAACCCCTAGAAAATCAATAGATATTAAGACTAGAAGGGCTATCATTGAAGACAGAAAGGACCTATTCTGAAAATGTAGGCTTAGCTGGGTGCAGTGGCTCACACCTGTAATCCCAGCACTTTGGGGGGGTCAAGGCAGGCAGATCACTTGAGTTGAGGAGTTCGAGACCAGTCTGACCAACATGGTGAAACCCATCCCTACTAAAAATTAAAAAATTAGCTGGGCATAGTAGCACTCACCTGTAGTCCCAGCTACTTGGGGGCTGAGGCAGGGGGATTGCTTGAACTGGGAGGTCGAGACTGAAGTGAGCTGAGATGATGCCTCTGCACTCCAGCCTGGGTGACAAAGTGAGGCCCTGTCTCAAAAAAAAAAACCAAAAAAACCACACCCAAAACATTCATTATGTGTGTATGCGTGTGTGTGTGTGTGTGTGTGTGTGTAAATTTATTATGTTACAGTGGGGCTAAAGAAGTAATTAAAAATGACAAAGAAATAATTGTGTCTCATAATGTATGAAATGTCCTTTAATGTGGTATATAAAATATTTTCACAAACACCATCTCCCTTAGGTTACGAATATGGCTCTTCTATTATTTCTTTAGGAGCAGGAATCGTTTCTTATTGATTTCACAATTCTTAATGCTTAGCTCAGGCTCTGACATCAATAGGCCCTCACTAGTTGCTTAATGAATGAAATATGGAATGGGACACTGAGGAATAAAGCAAAACATTATTAAAGACTGACTGAAGGAGACTGAGCCTCCTTCACAGTAAAGCATAGAAGCAAAAACTAAGGAATTGTACTGTACACACACACACACACACACACACACACACACACACAGCCATCAGCCCTTGAGTATTTAAGATGTGGTTCCCAAGGGCTAATACAACTAGGTTATTAAACCAGGCTGCCTTAGGAAATACCTGTAGGACAATGTCATCCTTATGGTTTAGCCTGAATGGTAAGGAGAAAGAAGCAAATTGTATTTGCAGTATCTAGAAGTGTAAGTTGGCAGTCAAAGTAATTAATCAGTGACCTGGTTCTCATGATGAATATTTTAGAATATCTAATTAAGATGATTAATTATCTGTGAAGTGGGAATAATGATACAACCTCAGTATTGTGAAGAGTAAATGAGATTCAAATAAATTCTTTAACATAAGTGCTTTAAGTTGTGCATTGTTTCTGTGGAGTTTCTTTCACATCTTCTTTTAGAGCTAGAGGTTTTATTTCTTTTTCTGGAAATGTATCCTTGGCATCTCCAACTTCTTTTTTGTATTAGTCAACAGCTTGTCAGAAATTCAGCTGTAAAATAGCTGATATTTCAATGGAAGTAGGTGCATGCTGTTATTTTTGGAAATTTTTGAAGGCAAAAGTGTTAAAAAATTTTTTATTTTTTCATTATGTTCTAGCTATTTACATATCAAATTGGATAATTTTACTAGAATAATTTACAAGTTCTCCTAGATACACTTACTGTTGTTCTAATTTTTTTATCTATTAGTTTGTCAATAACAATAAACATACATAGAAAATATTTTTCAAATAATTCCTAAACATTTCTAAAAATAGCTAGAATTTAGCCAGAGACAAACTTCAAACTTAGAAAGGTTTCTGAGGTAATACGTATAGTTTTTTTTTAATTGCCAGATTAGGACACATTTTTATTTTTTATTTTTTTTGAGACAGGGTCTCGCTCTGGAATTCTTGCGCAGGCTGGAATGCAGTGGCATGATCTGATCTCAGCTCATTGCCACCTCCCCTTCTCTGGCTCAAGCAGTCCTCCCACCTCAGTCTCCCTAGTAACTGGGACTACAGGTGCATGCCTCCATGCCCAGCTAATCTTTCATATTTTTTTGTAGAGATGGGGTTTTGTAGAGATGATTCACCTACCTCAGCCTCCCAAAATGCTGAGATTACAGACCTGAGCAACTGCACCTTTAATTTTACACTTTGGCTGGATGTGGTGCTTGTAATCCCAAATTCTGGGAGGCCAAGTTGGGAGAATTATTTGAGCCTAAGAGTTCAAGACCAGTCTGGGCAGCATAGTGAAAGCCTACCTCTATTAAAAAAAAAAAAAGGTTAAAAAATTTTTAAATAGAAAAACATATAATAAGGATATAAAGAAAGAAAATATATTTATACAGCTGTAAAATGTTTGTGTTTTAAGCTGTTATTACAAGAGTCAAAATGTTTTTAAAAATTTAAAAGTTTATAAAGAAGTTACAGTAAACTAAGTTAAATATGTATTTTTAAATTTTTATTATTTTTAAAGAGACAGGGCCTCAGTTTGTCTCCTAGGCTGGAGTACAGTGGCAGGATCATAGCTCACTGTAACCTTGACCTCTTGGGATCAAGTGATCCTCCTGCCTCAGTATCCCAAGTAGCTATAACTACAGGGATGCACCACTTTACCTTGCTAATTTTTGAAATTTTTTGTAAAGATGAGATCTCTTCATGTTGCCCAGACTTGTCTCCAATTTCAGCAACTCAAGCAGTCTTCCTGGCTCGGCCTCCCAAAGTGCTAGGATTACAGGCATAAGTCAGTGCGTGCCTGCCCTATTTTTAAAATAAATTTTAGTTCTTGGAATAAAAGTTCATGATGTGGAAAAAGAAAAAAATAAAATAAATTTCATGTTTATTGTGTTCATAACACAATAAGGTTTATAAGGTCTGCTGTACCGTATAGTAATGTCCTGTGCCTTCCGTTCACTCACCACTCACTCACTGACACCAAAAGCAACTTCCAGTTCTGTAAGCTCCATTCATGATAAGTGCCCTAATTCAGGTGACCACTTTTATCTTTTTTTTTTTTTTCAGACGGCGTTTCACTCTTGTTATCCTGGCTGGAGTGCAATGGTGCGATCTCGACTCACCGCAACCTCCACCTCCTGGGTTCAGGCAATTCTCCTGCCTCAGCCTCCTGAGTAGCTGGGATTACAGGCATGCGCCACCACGCCCAGCTAATTTTTTGTATTTTTAGTAGAGACGGGGTTTCACCATGTTGACCAGGATGGTCTCGATCTGTTGACCTCGTGATCCACCCACCTCGGCCTCCCAAAGTGCTGGGATTACAGGCGTGAGCCACCACGCCCGGCCCACTTTTTTCTTTTATATCATATTTTAACTGTACCTTTTGTGTGTTTAGGCAGATTCACAAGTACTTAACACTGTGTTATAGTTGCGTATAGTATTCAGTACAGTAACATGCTGTACAGATTTGTAACCACGGAACAATAGACTATAGCAAAAAACATCTATAGCAAAGATGTTTAAATACTATCTAGATTTCTGTAAGTGCACTCTGTGATGTCCACACAATGACAGAATTGCTTGACCATACATTTCTCAGAACATATGCCCACTGTTAAGTGGTGCATGACTTTATAATATTTTTATTTTATTTTATTTTATTTTTAAAAATAGAGATGGGGTTTCTCCATGTTGGTCAGGCTGGACTTGAACTCCCAACCTCAGATGATCCGCCCGCCTAGGCCTCCCAAAGTGCTGTGATTACAGGCGTGAGCCACCGTGCCCGGCCTATAATATTTTTATATTGCATGTCATAAGTATAAACAGGAATATATATTTACCCTACACAGGTGAGTCACAGATAAAAGAATCATGTAAACTAGTATATTTAAAAGAATGCTCAGCCGGACGCAGTGGCTCATGTCTGTAATCCCAGCACTTTGGGAGGACAAGGCGGGCAGATCACAAGGTCAGGACACTGATACTGTCTTGGGCAACACGGTGAAAACCCGTCTCTACTAAAAATACAAAAATTATCTGGGCATGCGCACGCCTGTAGTCCCAGGTACTTGGGAGGCTGAGGCAGGAGAATCACTTGAACCAGGGAGTTGGAGGTTGCAGTGAGCCCAGATCCAGCCATTGCACTCCAGCCTGGCAACAGAATAAGACTCCATCTCAAAAAAAAAGAAGAGAATGATCAGAGGCTGGGCGTGGTGGCTCACACCTGTAATCCCAGCACTTTAGGAGGCTGGGGCAGGCGGATCACCTGGGGCCAGGAGTCAGAGACCAGCCTGACCACATGGCGAAACCTCCATCTCTACTAAAAAATACAAAAATTAGCTGGGCATGGTGGCAGGTGCCTGTAATCCCAGCTACTCAAGAGGCTGAGGCAAGAGAATTGCTTGAACCCAGGGTGTAGAGGTTGCAGTGAGCCAAGATAGTGCACTGCTCTCCAGCCTGCATGACAAAAGCAAAACTCAGTCTCAAAAAAATAAAAGAAAATAAAAATAAAAGAATGTTCAGTATTTATTAGATTAAATTCCTGCCGTAATTCATTATATTGACTTTGAATAAATTGATGCCCATGTAGATAACTGGTTATGGAAAGGAGGTAACATGATTCTTTTATTCTCAGTTCACTTAGAATATTTTCATATGAATAAGTCATGCTAGGTGGTGGTATTACGGAGATATTTTAGTATTGTGGGATTTTTTTGGATTTGTAACTCTGAATTGTTACATCTGATGCATGTAACCTAAATGTATACTTAAGTGTCACAATGTCATTCTTCTTTTATTTCTTCAGTGCGGTTAAAATCGGAACTGATATGCTAGAATTGGACTGCCATATCACAAAAGATGAACAAGTTGTAGTGTCACATGATGAGAATCTAAAGAGAGCAACTGGCATCAATGTAAACATCTCTGATCTCAAATACTGTGTAAGTAAAAATGCATGAAAAATTAATATCTAATAGATATGGCCTGTAAGATTTTAAAAAAATAGTGAATAGCTGACATTGCTTCAGTAAATAATTTCTAAAATTATTTAAATATTGATTAAATACTGAATGTCAAAGGAAATTTTAAAAAACTATTTTGGGGCCGGGCATACTGGCTCATGCCTGTAATTCCAGCACTTTGGGTTGCTGAGGTGTGAGGATTGTTTGAGGTCAGGAGTTTGAGATCAGGCTAGGCAACATAGCAAGATTCCATCTTTATTTAAAAATTGGAAAATTGGCTGGATATGGTGGCTCATGCCTGTAATCCCAGCACTTTGGGAGGCTGAGGCGGGTGAATAACCTGCAGTCAGGAGTTTAAGATCAGCCTGGCCAACATGGTGAAACCCTGTCTCTACTAAAAATATAAGAATCAGCCAGGCGTGGTGGTGGGCACCTGTGATCCCAGCTACTCAGGAGGCTGAGGCAGGAGAATGACTTGAACCCAGGAGGCAGAGGTTGCAGTGAGCTGAGATGGTGACACTGCACTCCAGCCTGGGACTGGAGCAGAACTCTGTCTCAGAAAAAAAAAAAAAGGAAAATTATCCAAGCATAGTGGCACATGCCTGTGTTCCCAGCTGCTCAGGAGGTCAAGGTGGGAAGATCACTTGATCCTGGGAATTTGAAGCTGCAGTGGGCCAAGATTGTACCACTACACTCCAGCCTGGGTGACAGTGAGAGCCTGTGTCAAAAACAAAATGAGCCCAGATGCAGTGGCTCACACCTGTAAGCCCAGCACTGTGGGAGGCCGAGGTAGGTGGATCACCTGAGGTCAGAAGTTTGAGACCTGCCTGACCAACATGGTGAAACCCCATCTCTACTAAAAATACAAAAATTAGCCTGGTGTGGTGGTGTGCCTATAATCCCAGCTATTTGGGAGGCTGAGGCAGGCGAATCGCTTGAACCCGTGAGGCAGAGGTTGCATTGAGCCAAGATCATGCCACTGCACTCCAGCCTGGGCAAGATTGAGACTCTAACTCAAAAAAAAAAAAAAAAAAAAAAAAATCGTCGGGCACGGTGGCTCACGCCTATAATCACAGCACTTTGGGAGGCTGAGGCAGGTGGATCACGAAGTCAAGAGATCGAGACCATCCTGGTCAACAAGGTGAAACCCTGTCTCTACTACTAAAAATACAAAAATTAGCTGGGCATGGTGGTATGCGCCTGTAGTCCCAGCTACTCGGAGGCTGAGGCAGGAGAATTGCTTGAACCAGAAGGCAGAGGTTGCGGTGAGCCAAGATCGTGTCATTGCACTCCAGTCTGGGTAACAACAGCAAAACTCTGTCTCAAAAAAAAAAAAATCTGATCATTATAATGTACATATTCATTATAGTACATATTGATGAATGGAAGGAAAAATTGTGCATAAAGTTACCACCAAAAAAAAAAACACTTTATGTTAACAGCCTTCTACCTTATGTATACCTTGTATGTTTTTTAAATTTGTTTTCTCACTGTGCATCATGTATGTTGAATTTTAGATACTTTAACATTATAACATGATAATGGCCAGCCTCAGTGGCTCATGCCTGTAACCCTAGCACTTTGGGAGGCTGGGGTGGGCAGATCACCTGAGGTCAGGAGTTCGAGACCAGCCTGGCCAACATGGTGAAACCCCATCTCTACTAAAAATACAAAAATTAGCTGGGCGTGTTGGTGTCAGACTGTAATCCCAGCTACTCGGGAGGCTGAGGCAGGAGGATCACTTGATCCTAGGAGGTGGAGATTGCAGTGAGACAAGATGGTGCCATTGCATTTCAGGCTGGGTGAAAAGAGAAAGACTTTGTCTCAAAAAAAAAAAAAAGAAAAGAAAAAAGAAACATTATAATATAATAAACATTTTTCAATGCTTTCCATGCTTTCCATCACTCAGGCTGGACAATCTCAGCTCACTGCAACCTCTGCCTTCTAGGGTCAAGCTATTCTCCTGCTTCAGCCTCCAGAGTAGCTGGGACCACAGGCGTGCACCACCATACTAAGCTAATTTTTGTATTTTTAGTAGAGATGGGGTTTCACCATGTTGGCCAGGCTGGTCTTGAACTATTGATCTGAAGTGATCCACCCACCTCAGCCTCCCAAAGTGTTGGGATTACAGGTGTGAGTCACTGTGCCCAGGCTTTTTTATGCTTTTAAAAAAATAAACTTTATTTTTTAGAGAAGTTTTGGGTTTCCAGCGAAATTGAGTTGAAAATACAGAGTTCCCACATACTTGCACAGTTACCACACAGACACAGCGTCCCCCACTTTTAACATCTGCACTAGAGTGGTACATACATTGACACAATATTATCACCTATAGTCCATAGTTTACATTAGGGTTCAGTCTTGTACATTCTGTGGTTTTGGACAAATTTATAATGACCTGTATCCACAATTATACTATCATGCAAAATATTTCCACTGCTCTAAAAGTTCTGTGTTCTGCCTATTCAGTCCTCCCTTCCCTCGTCCCCTGGCAACCACTGATCTTTTTGCTGTCTCTATTGTTTTGTTTTTTCCAGAATGTCATATAGTTGGAATCATACAATATTTGGCCTTTCAGATTCCATGCTTATCTGCCATTAACATTTCAAATGACTATAGTTATTCCATTGTGTGGATATGTAGTTATTTTTTAATGATTCTTCTATTGTTGGGCATTGGATTAGCTCACCGTTATAGATTACACTGCACTAAACATTTTTTTGTTTTTTTGAGACAGAATTTCACTCTTGTTGCCCAGGCTGGAGTGCAATGGTGCAATTTCGGCTCACTGTAACCTCTGCCTCCTGGGTTCAAGCAATTCTACTGACTCAGCCTCCCAAGTAGCTGAGACTTCAGGCATTCACCACCACACCCAGCTAATTTTTTGTATTTAGTAGACAGGGTTTCACCATGTTGGTCAGGCTGGTTGTGAACTCCTGACCTCAGGTGATCTACCTCTCTCAGCCTCCCAAAGTGCTGAGAGTACAGGCATGAGCCACTGTGCCCAGCCTGCACTGAACAGCTTTATCCATAGACAAAGCTTTGTCTCCCCAGTGGGGATGTGTGTAAAAAAAATAAGAGAAAAAAAAAGACAAACCTTCGCCTATCTTTAGCTTTTTATATAGTTATTTATAAAGATATACAAATATTTAGATTTATAAAAGTTATTTATATAAAGTTTTCTCTATTTTAAGATTATTTCTCTAAATATACTCCCAGAAGGAAAATTATTGAGTAAAAGGACATTTGCCAGCTGAGTGTGGTGGCTCGTGCTTGTAGTCCCAGTCCTTATGAGGATCCATTGAGCTCAGAAGATCAAGGCTACAGTGAGGTATAATTGTGCTACTTCACTCCAGCCCAGGCAATAGAGTGAGACACTGTCTCAAAAAAAAAAAAAGGAGAAAATAAAATAAAAATAATATTTACTAGTATTGAGCATTATAATCATACCAAAATTTACTAAATTTTAACTAATACTTTATTGGGTTATTAAGAAGTTTAAATATCTATTTAATTGTTAATTATTTTTCTTTTTTTTCCATTGAATTGTGTATTCCTGATACTTTTCTACTGAAATCTTTGTACATTATTGTGAAAAGGTGTATATTAAGTAGTACAGATATCTTTTTTTGTAGGTGGCATAAGTAAGTAATATGGTTAATTTGCTGTTGGGGATGTTCTGCTGATGGGCACCTATGTAAACATGTTTCCTAGCATTTTACTCTTTATGTTGAAGAAGGACATCTTTATGTCTTAATGCAAGACATTAGAATCTTATTATTTTTTGAAAGGTAACTTTTTTTCAATCATATCTTTTAAGGAGCTCCCACCTTACCTTGGCAAACTGGATGTTTCATTTCAAAGAGGTAATATTTCTTATCTGTAGCTTAAACATTTATATTTTTTACATGTGTGTTTCTTGTCATAGTATGTTCTTCCTGAAAGTAACTGACCTCGAAGCTTGTTCTCTCAGGCCTATAAATCTGAAGCCTTGAAGATTATCTGATGTGAAATTATCAGGTCCAAAGCTTTAGCTGATTCATTCTACTTAAATTCACATACAGTTGATTTAAACCTGAATACTGATTTTAAGAAACATTTCACTTCTAAAGCTTCAAATTGTAGAATACTGTTGCAACTTATAGTAGCCATCCATCAAAAAATATAATAAAAAATAAAAGAAAAGGGCTGGGCACCATGGCTCATGACTGTAATCCCAACACTGTGAGAGGCTGAGGTGGGCAGATCACTTTAGGTCAGGAGTTCGAAATAAGCCTGGCCAACATGGTGAAACCCTGTCTCTACTAAAAATACAAAAATAATTAGCCAGGCGTGGTAGTACGCACCTGTAGTCCCACCTACTTGGGAGGCTGAGGCAGGAGAATCACTTGAACCTGGGAGGCGGAGGTTGCAGGGAGCCAAGATTGCACCAGTGCACTCCAGCCTGGGCGACAGAGCAAGACTCTGTCTCATAATAAATAAATAAATTAATTAATTAAATAAAAATAAATGAAAAGAATGGAAAGGATCCCTTTCAAATCCTTTCTGGTTCCATAATATTTAATTCTGTCTTTTAGCTGCTCCCTATTTTAAATGATTAAATAGGGATTCTATCATTCAAATACACCATTTCCTAGTCATCTTTACTTAGTAGTTTTCTTCTGAGGGAACATTTCTCACAAAGAAACATGTCCCTTGACCCAACTTGTTAGTTACTGCAAATGTTAGAATGGAAAATATACCACCTTAAGATATGTGCTGAACAGATATAGGCCCCTTCATTGTCACAAGTCAGCCTCATATTTTGGAATGATTCAAATGTATAACTCAATAAAACCATAAGATGCTACATATCTTATGTTGTGAATATATCATGAATCTCTGTATCATGTATGATTTGTAGTTATTATCAGTGGAGCTGACATTTAATGAAAGTTGAAACCTTCATTAAATGTCAGATCCACTGATAATAATTTTTTAAAAGAACTGTAACTGCTCTATGAACTAGATTTAAAATGGGCCAAGCCAGGTGTGGTGAGGTACACCTATATTCCCAGCTACTTGGGAGACTGAGTTGGGAGGCTTGTTTGAGTCCAAGAGTTGGAGTCTAGCTTGAACCACATAGCAAGGAACCACATAGCAAGACCTTGTCTCTTTAAAAAAAAAAAAAAAAATTGACCACTGATAGGGAAATTTTGGAAAACCAAATAAAAATCAGAAAAAAAAATTAACATTAGCTATTTCTAAGGGATACTTAAATATCAGATGTGTTTGATTTCAATTTCCAGGTAAGTCGAAGTTGTTGGTTTGAGGAAACCTTTTTCATTCTTGTAATTTATAGGATTATACTTGCCAAGCTATTGTAATATTTGTGTCAATTTTGAACTTGTGAAAGTCAAAAAAATTTCAGAAATGAAGTTTTTTCTATTTTTACCTTTGTAGAGCAAAGCCAAAGAAAGCCCCACAAAAATTAAAAGATCCAGCAGATGTGGTGGCTCACACCAATAATCTCAGCACTTTGAGATACCAAAGTGGGAGGGTTTAGCAAGACCTCATCTCTAAAAATATTAGCCTGGCATGGTGGCATGTGCCTATAGTCCTAGCTATTTAAGACACTTGAGGTGCGAGGATCCTTTGAGCCCAAGAGTTCAAGGCTGCAGTGAACTATGCATACCACTATGCTCCAACCTGGGAGATTGAGTGAGCCCTTGTCCCCACGAAAAGAATCCTTTGAGGAAAATAAAAAAGTTTTAACTTTTTTCATGGTTTTGTATGTCACTCATAAAGTCATGAAACTGTTTGCCTAGGCTGGAGTGAAGTGGCTCAATCTCAGCTCACTGCAACCTCTGCCTCCAGGTTTCAAGGGATTCTCATGCCTTAGCCACCTGAATAGCTGGGATTAAAGGCGCCCACCACCACACAGCTACTTTTTGTATTTTCAAAATACAAAATGGGGTTTCACCACGTTCGCCAGACTGGTCTTGAACTCTTGGCCTCAATTGATCTGCCCAACCTACCTTGGCATTTCAAAGTATTGGGATTACAGACGTGAGCCACTGCACCTGGCCAATTTTTGAATGTGAAGAGACCTTTGAGACTGTCTAATCTCATTTTCCATTATAGACAAGGAAACTGAAGTCTAAAGATGCAAATTGACCTAATGAAATTCATGTAACAAGGAAATAACAATGCTAGAACTTGAACTAGATCTCTATCTTACCAGAACAGTGTTCAGCTATACCATACTGCCTCTTCACTGGAACACTATTCTCAAATGCTGTATCAAGAACAATGCTGGCTGGGCGCAATGGCTCACGCCTGTAATCCCAGCACTTTAGGAGGCCGAGGCAGGTGGATCATGAGGTCAGAAGTTCGAGAGCAGCCCGGCCAAGATGGTGAAAACCCATCTCTACCAAAAATACCAAAAAAAAATTAGCTGGACATAGGGGCACCTGCCAGCTACTTGGGAGGCTGAGGCAGGAGAATCGCTGAACCCAGAAGGCAGAGGTTGCAGTGAGCCGAGATCAGGTCACTGCACTCTAGCACAGATGGCAGAGCAAGACTTCATCTTGGGGGGGAGAAAAAAAAAAACAATGCTGCGGGAAAAAAATGAACAATGTTGTGTACTGTCAAGTTCATACATCTGTAAGGAATAATAATAGGCTTTTATTTTATGTTGCATTCATCTCATATCATAATTGACTTTAGACTGATCCTCACATGTGAAGTTGACTGCATTTGAAAAGACTAAAGAACCGTGTATAAAAATTTGACTCAGAACTATGGCAGTGATCACATCTGTAATCCCAGCACTTTGGGAGGCTAAGGAAGGATGATCACTTGATCCCAGGAGTTCGAGACCAGCCTGGGCAACATAGAGAGACTCCATCTTTACAAAAATAATAAAAATCTTATTAGCCAGGCACCATGGTGTGCACATGTGGTTCTAGCTAGGGAGGCTGAGGTGGGAGAATTGCTGAGCCCAGGAGGTTGAGGCTGCAGTGAACCATGATTGCATCACTGCACAAAATGAGACTCTGTCTTTAAAAAAAAAAAAAAAGAAAATTAAACAAGAAACTTGACTCAGATTAGTCAAAAAATGGTTCCGTTTTTTCTATCCTGTTCCCCTGCTTAGAATTCTTGCTTACCAGGCTGGACACAGTGGTTCACACTTGTAATCCCAGCACTTTGGGAGGCCAAGGCAGGCAGATCACCTGAGGTCAGGAGTTTCAGACCAGCTTGGCCAACATGGCAAACCCTGTCTCTACTAAAAATACAGAATTAAAAAATTTTTATTATTAATTTTTTTTTGAGTCGGAGTCTTGCTCTTGCCAAGCTGGAGTGCAGTGGTGCGATGTCAGCTCACTGCAACCTCCGCCTTCTGGGTTCAAGTGATTCTCCTGCCTCAGCTTCCCAAGTAGCTGGGACTACGGGCATGTGCCACAAAGCCCAGCCAATTTTTTTATTTTTAGTAGAGACAGTGTTTCACCATGTTTGCCAGAACAGTCTCGATCTCTTGACCTCGTGATCTGCCCATCTTGCCCTCCCAAAGTGCTGGGATTACAGGCATGAGCCACTATGCCTGGCCAAATTTTTATTTTTAATTTTTGAGACAAAGTTTTGTTCTGTCGCCCAGGCTGGAGTGCAGTGGCACAATCTTAGCTCCCTGCAACCTCTGCCTCCCAGGTTCAAGCAATCCTCCTGCCTCAGCCTCCCAAGTAGCTGGGATTACAGGTGCCCACTACCACACCTGACTAAGTTTTTATTTTTAGTACAGACAGAGTTTCTTCACCATGTTGACCAGGCTGGTCTTGAACTCCTGACCTCAGGTGATCCACCCATCTTGGTGTCCCAAAGGGCGGGATTACAGTTGTGAGCCACCGTGCCTGGCCAAAATACAAAAGTTAGCCAGGTATGGTAGTGCATAGCTGTGGTTAGTCCCAGCTACTCTAGAGGCTGAGGCTGGAGAATCACTTGAACCCAGGAGACAGAGGTTGCAGTGAGCTGAGATCATGCCACTGCACTCCTGCCTGGGTGACAGTAGGAGACTCTGTTTTTTAAAAAAGAAAAAGGGCTGGGTGCAGTGGCTCAAGCCTGTAATCCCAGCACTTTGGGAGGCCAAGGCGGGTGGATCACGAGGTTAAGAGATCAAGACCATCCTGGTCAACATGGTGAAACCCCGTCTCTACTACGAATACAAAAAATTAGCTGGGCATGGTGGCACATGCCTGTAATCCCAGCTACTCGGGAGGCTGAAGCAGAAGAATTGCCTGAACCCAGGAGGCGGAGGTTGCGGTGAGCCGAGATCGCGCCATTGCACTCCAACCTGGGTAACAAGAGCGAAACTCCGTCTCAAAAAAAAATAATAATAGTAATAATAAAAAAGAAATTGTGAAGAAGGAACATAAAAAATTGTTAACCAGGCCAGACGTGATGGCTCACACCTGTAATCCCAGCACTTTGGGAGGCTGAGGTGGGTAGATCACCTGAGGTCAGGAGTTCAAGATCAGCCTGGCCAACATGGTGAAACCCCATCTCTACTAAAAGTACAAAAATTAGCTGGACATGGTGCATGCACCTGTTATCCCAGATACTTGGGAGGCTGAGGCAGGAGAATCACTTGATCCTGGGAGGTGGAGATTGCAGTGAGCCAAGAACATGCCACTGCATTTTAGCCTGGGCGGCAAAGCAAGACTTCTCTCAAAAAAAAAGTGTTAACCAAAGGGTTTGTTATTATCTATCCTGATTATTTGAAAGTAACCTATTTGTTTTTCATGGAAAACACATAATTTGGATAATCTAGAGTTGACTATAATTATCGTTTTTTTGTTTTGTTTTGTTTTTAAGATGGGGTTTCACCATGTTGGTCAGGCTGGTCTTGAACTCCCGACCTCAGGTGATCCGCCCGCCTTGGCCTCCAAAGTGCTTGGATTACAGGCATGAGCCACCACGCCCAGCCTATAATTATCATTTTAAAGTTCCCCGAATAGGGAAAACTATTTAAATAGTGGCCCCTAACTTTTATACTGGCCACTATTACATAAAACAACACATCCTGTGGCATACTCCTTGTTTATCTTTTCTGTTTCCTGTTATTTCCCTGTTTTCTTTTTGTAGTCCACAATTTTCTAGCTGGCTATCATCTGCTTAGAAAAATACTGGGGCAAACTTCCCTTTTTTCAACTGTTTTTCTACATTCCAAGCAGGTCGAGGCATGTTATTTATGTATTATTATATTTAAGTAGAGATTGGGCCTTGCAATGTTGGCCAGGTTGGTCTTGAATTCCTGGCTTCAAGCAGTCTTTCTGCCTCAGCCTTCCAAAGTGCTGAGATTATGGGAGTGAGCCACGGTGCCTGGCCTCATTTTTGTATCTTTACATCACTAGCACTTTTTTTTTCTCAGCACACATTTTAGTTTTCTCATACACTCATTCTTAGACAGATTATTCTTATGTGTCATTTTGCTGTTCAGAAGTTAGTTTCATCTGTTTGACCTTTTTGTAAATTGATTCTTCTTTTTTTGAGACGGAGTCTTGCTCTGTTGCCCAGGCTAGAGTGCAGTGGCATGATCTCGGCTCACTGCAACCTCTGCCTCCTGGGTTCAAGTGATTCTCCTGCCTCAGCCTCCTGAGTAGCTGGGATTACAGGTGCCTGCCACTGCGCCTGGGTAATTTTTGTATTTTTAGTAGAGATGGGGTTTTACCATCTTGGTCAGGCTGGTCTCGATCTCCTGACCTTGTGATCCACCCGCCTTTGCCTCCCAAAGTGCTGAGATTACTGCACTCAGCCTGTAAATTGATTCTTGCATGTATCTTACTTGACTGCTAAATTAATATTTTAATTTGCCCACACTGTGACAGAAAGACAGTTTTCCTTATGAACTTCAAGCATGAAGTCCCAGAGAAAGATATTGATTGGTCTAGCTTGGGTCATGGTGGCCATCTTGAAGAAAATAAATGGGGTATTATGATCATATGCCCACCACTGAGGGTGAATGGGCAGTGGTTACTATGATGACAGCCTTATCAGAACAATGTGAGATAAGGAGATACAATGTGAAATACAGGTTTCCAGAGGAAGGAAGAATGTTGAGTAGGTAAAAACATGGTGGCTCATGCCTATAATCTCAGCATTTAAGGAGGCCAAGGTGAGAGAATCCCTTGAGGCCAGGGATTCAAGGCCAACCTGGCCAACAAAGCAAGACTTCATCTCTACTTAAAAAAACAAACAGGAGACAGGAGACTAGATATGCCTCTAGTCTCAGCTATTTCCAGGCTGAAGTAGGAGGATAACTGGAGCTGAGGATCACTAGAGCTGAGGAGATAGATAAAAGCTATCTACTATAAACATAATTTTAAAAGTTTAATTATGGAGTCTATGATGAATTTAAACTCAGTTATAAGTGTTAGATACATATCTTAAGACAGCTTAAGAAAAAAGTTAAACAATGAATTTATTTTCAAAATTGGAAAGGCCAGAGGTTATATGCTCTAAGACATGACTGATTCTAGTTGCTTAAGCAATAATCAGTCTCTATCTCCATTTCTTGCTTTTGGTTTCATTTGTGTTAGCTTTGCTTTCAGGGACATGCTTTCCGAATAGAGATGAAATTTTGGCAGCTTGTACATGATCCATTCAGCGAAGAATTTCAAGACGCATTCTCTTCCAGTGTCCATATTGTTATGCTTAACAGGTTAGACTGGTCTTACGTTTAATCTGTGATCAGAGAGGCAGAGCCAATAATTGACAGTCCCATTAGAGTAATCCAGAGCCCCATCAGAATTACAAGTAGTAACAGACTTTTCCTTTTTTCATCTTTAATATACATGCTGCTTTGTACTTGAGTTCAAATTATAAATAATTTTATTTTCTGATGTGGATTTCATTTACTTTTTGATAATGTATCTTTGTTTTGACTTGCCATATAATAAGATGGCATAAAGGATTTTTCACCATTTTGTTATTTATAGATTAGTGGAATTGAATTTTCAGATGTAAGCAGAATACTTTTTACAATAGTTATATAGTATGTAAATTATATAAATGATTAGAGTCATTAGAGTCAAAAGGGACTAGAGAGCCAGGTGTGGTGGCTCACATCTGTAATCTCAGCACTTAGGGAAGCTGAGGCAGGAGAATTGCTTGAGATCAGGAGTTCAAAATCAGCCTGGGCAAAATATAGTGGAACCCTTCTCTACCAAAAAAGAAAGGCTGGGCGTGGTGTCTCATGCCTCTTATCCCAGCATTTTGGGAGGCCAAGGCTGGTAGATCAACTGAGGTCAGGAGTTTGAGACCAGCCTGCCCAACATGGTGAAACCTCGCCTCTACTAAAAATACAAAAAATTAGCCGGGCATAGCAGACCCCTCTAATCCCAACTACTTGGGAGGCTGAGGCAAGAGAATTGCTTGAACCTGGGAGGTGGAGGTTTCAGTGAACCGAGATTGCACCATTGCACTCCAGCCTGGGCAATAAGAGTGAAACTCCATCTCCAAAAAAAAAAAAAAAAATTTGCTGGGCATGGTGGTGCATGCCAGTAGTTCCAGAGGATTACTGGAGCTGGGGAGGCTGCAGTGAGCCATCATCATGCTACCGCATTCCAGCCTTGGCTATAAGCAAGATCCTGTCTCAAAAAAAAAAAACAAAAAAAAAAGGGATCAAGCTTGTGGCTCATGCCTGTAATCCTGGCACTTTGAGAGGCCGAGGTGGGCAGATCACTTGAGCTCAGGATTTCAAGACCAGCCTGACCAAATGGCAAAACTCTATCTCACAAAAAGTACAAAAAAATTAGCCAAGCATGATAGTGCTCCTGTATTTCCAGCTACTCAGGAGGCTAAGATGGGAGGATCACTTGAGCCCAGGAGGCAGAGGTTGCAGTGAACCAAAATGGTGTCACTGAACTCCAGCCAGGGCGACACCCTGTCTTATCAAAAAAAGGTACTAGAGAAAGACTAAAGAAAATAATCCTCAGGAAATATAAAGAACAATTAAAGTGCCCTTCTAATTTTTTCATTATTTGAAATTTCTTTGAATAACTGCATTCATATAATTCTTCAACACATTACTGATTTAGTGTACTTCCCTTGCCTGAATGTTATCTTTAATCTCTGAAAAATTCAATGATGATATAGCAAAACTTTAGAAATCATCTCAGTATTTATCAGTAGGGAAATGGTTAAATTAGGATAAATTATTGTATAGATACTCAATGGAGTATTTTGACACCTTTTAAAATTGTGATAGAATTAGATCGGTGGATTCTATCAATGTCAATATCATGGTTGTGATATTGTACTATAGATTTGCAAGAAGGTTATCACTGGGAAATCTGGACAAAGGATGCATGGAGGCTGGGTGTGGTGGCTCAAGCCTGTAATCCCAGCACTTTGGAAGGCCGAGGTGGGCAGATCACTTGAGGTTAGGAGTTCAAGACCAGCCTGGCCAACATGGTGAAACCCTATCTTTACTAAAAATATGAAAATTAGCCGGGTGTGGTGGCAATTGCCTGTAATCCTAGCTATCCAGGAGGCTGAGGCATGAGAATCACTTGAATCCAGGAGGCAGAAGTTGCAGTGAGCTGAGATCGTGCCAGTGCACACCAGCGTGGGTATCAAAGTGAGACTCTGTCTCAAAAAAAAAAAGGTGCATGGATCCTTACAATTCATTGTGAATCTGTGGTTATCTCAAAAAATTAATTAAAAACAAATCATAATCATAAGCACAGTAATCAATAGGAAAATATTTTTATGTGAAAATATCAGGTTAAACTCTGTAGCACATCCTATTATTACTATATTAAATCATGCAGAGGAAAAAAGAGTAGAGAAAGTATACCAAATGATCATAGTGTTTATATCTAAGTTGTTGGATTTACATGATTTTTTCTTCTTTATACTTTTCCTTATTTTGAAAATGTCCCTTAATGAGTATATACTATAACTTTTCTAGTTATCAAAAAGTAAAAGTTATATTTTAAAAATACATTTAAAAATCTTGCTTTCTCAGCATGCCAATGTGAAGGAAAAGATAACCGAATTCCATTACTGAAGGAAGTTTTTGAGGCCTTTCCTAACACTCCCATTAACATCGATATCAAAGTCAACAACAATGTGCTGATTAAGAAGGTACTCAAGGCATTGCCTCTTCCGGGTGTGTTAGGTTAGAGTAGGTGACTGCTTAGATTGATAATGCTCAAGGAAATGTGATACACTAGGGATCAGCATTGTTTTAAATAATGTCCTCGTAGAAGAGATCATTTTACTGTAGGAGAGCCTATTTTCAGAGAAAGCTGTCATGTCTCAGTCATGGATAAAATAAGCTTGTATGAACCAGTCATTCTGGCATTTATATAATTAACTTCTAGTCTAACTTGTTTCATTTGTGATTAGTTTATGTCAAATTACTAAATAACTGTAATCTGTTAAATATATAATGGCATAATGTGAATAAATTTTGCATTTTATAAAATAATTAAATTTATATATTGATTCTTCCAAAATGTTATGCTATTCATTGACGGATAATCAATTCTAATTCATTTTTTAAGTGAAATGTTGTTAGTGGCTTTGCAGATAAGCACATGGATAAAATTCTGAATTTTCACACATAGGTTTCAGAGTTGGTGAAGGAGTATAATCGTGAACACATAACAGTGTGGGGTAATGCCAGTTATGAAATTGTAGAAAAGTGCTACAAAGAGGTAAGCTTCAAAAATGATACAGAATTATCTATCTTTGTTGTTGTTGTATATCTATAAATGATAAGTTATTATAGCTATACCTTTTGTTTTCTTATTTTTCAAGATAGGGTCTCACTTTATCACCCAGGCTAGAGTGCAGTGGTGCAATTATAGCTCACTGCAACCTCAAACTCCTGGGCTCAATCAATCCTCCTGCCTCAGCCTCCCAAGTAGTTGGGGCTACAGGTACCCAGCTAATTTTTAAATCTTTAGTAGAGATGAGGTCTCACTATGTTGCCTGCTCTGGTCTCAAACTCTTGGACTCAAGCAATCCTCCTGCCTTGGCCTCCCAAAGTGCTGGGATTACAGGAGTGAGCCACTGTGTCTGGGTCCTATTACAATACTAATTTTTTAAAACTTATTTCAGCCGTGTGGCTGAACCTGTAATGTCAGCACTTTGGGAGGCCAAGGTGGGTAGATCATGAGGTCAGAAGTTCAAGATTAGCCTGGCCAACTTGGTGAAATCCCATCTTGACTAAAAAATGCAAAAATTATCCGGGCATGGTGGCACATGCCTGTAATCCCAGCTACTTGGGAGGCTGAGGTAGAGAATTGCTTGAACCCGGGAGGCAGAGGTTGCAGTGAGCCAAGATCACACCATTGCACTCCAGCCTGGGAGACAGAGTGAGACTGTCTCAACAAAAAAAAAGAAAGAAAGAATTTATTTAAGGGGTGAGGATTGCTTGAGGCCAGGAATTTGAGACCAGCCTGGGTAGCATAGTAAGACTTCCAATTCTATTAAAAAAAATTAAAGGCTGGGCGCAGTGGCTCACCCCTGTAGACCCAGCACTTTGGGAGGCTGAGGCAGGCAGGTCACCTGAGGTCAGGAGTTCAGGACCAGCCTGGCCAACATAGCAAAACTATTAAAAATACAAAAAATAGCCAGGCATGGTGGCATGCTCCTGTAATCCCAGCTTCTAGGGAGGCTGAGGCAGGAGAGTTGCTTGAACCTGGGAAGCAGAGGTTGCAGTGAGCTGAGATCATACCACTACACTCCAGCCTGAGCAACAGAGCTCCATCTCAAGAAAAAAAAAAAAGAGAGAAATTATTTAGGGTCAGGCTGAGTAGCTCACACCTTTGTAATCCCAGCACTTTGGGAGGCCAAGGCAAACAGATCACTTGGAGCCCAGGAGTTCGAGACCAGCCTAGGGAACATGAGGAAGCCCTGTCTCTACTAAAGATACAAAAACTAGCTGAGTATGGTGGTACATGCCTGTAGTCTCAGGGAAGCTGAGGTGAGAGGATGGCTTGATCCTGGTAGACAGAGGTTGCTGTGAGCCGAGATCCTGCCATTGTACTTCAGCCTGGGTGACACAGCCAGACACTGTCTCAAAAAAAAAAAAAAAAAAAAATCCTATTATCTTTCAGAAAAAAATTATCTGGTTCCTCAACTTTAGCTTCTTTTTACCCTAACCCCCCAAATAGACTTAAGGAAGTTAAGCCAAGATCATGCAAGTTCATGATTATTAAGTAATATGTAAAGGCAGGACCATCTACCCACTGAAAATTTTCTGGTTAAAGAAAATATATCAGGCCAGGCGTGGTGGCTCAAGCCTGTAATCCCAGCACTTTGGGAGGCCAAGGCGGGCGGATCACCAGGTCAAGAGATCAAGACCATCCTGGCCAACACAGTGAAACCCTGTCTCTACAAAATTTAAAAATACAAAAACTAGCAGGGTATGGTGGCGTGCACCTGTAGTCCCAGCTACTCGGGAGGCTGAGGCAGAATTGCTTGAATCCAGGAGGCGGAAGTTGCAGTGAGCCGAGATTGTGCCACTGCACTCTAGCCTGGCGCCTGGCAACAGAACAAGACTCTGTCTCAATAAAAAAAAAAAGAAAGAAAATATATCAGCTGGGTGCAGTGGCTCACGCCTGTAATCCCAGCACTTTGGGAGGCTGAGGTGGGTGGATCACCTGAGGTTAGGAGTTTGAGACCAGCCTGGCCAACATGATGAAACCCCTTTTCTCCTAAAAATATAAAAATTAGCCAGGCATGGTGGCGCATATCTGTAATCCCAGCAACTCAGGAGGCTGAAGCAGGAGAATGGCTTGAACCAGGGAGGCAGAGGTTGCAATGAGCTGGGATTCCACCACTGTACTCTAGCCTGGGCAACAGAATGAGACTCTGTCCCAAAAAAACCAAGTATATAAAAATTAATTTTATGTGTTTTAAAATGATAGTTAAACCTTCATAAGCAAGTTTACATACATAATCAGCTAAGAGAATTTAAAATTTAAGATATTAAAAAATTTTGAGCATTGAAGATGCTGAAATCATCTGTAATAGAGAAGAAATACCATGATGTAAGTAGCAATTTTCAAATACAAGGAACTTTTCGGTGGCTGATCTGAGTGTAGTGGTGTTTACAATTAGTTGATTACAACCAATTACTTATTTCTTTCCTTCTCCATTCCCACTGCTTCATTTGACTAACCTTAAAAAATAAACAAAACAAAACACTTATTTGGGCAGGCGTTCCTTCCTAGCAGAGAAGGCGAAAACTTGGAAAGTCAGCATCATTACAATTCAGAGTATAATTGAGATTCCCATTAAAGCAAGTAAGTTTGTTGTTGTTGTTGTTTTGGAGACTCCAGCCTAGGCTGGAGTACAGTCGCTTGATCTAGGTTCACTGCAACCTCCGTTTCCTGGATTCAGGCAGTTTTCCTGCCTCAGCCTCCTGACTCGCTGGGATTACAGGCACGTGCTGCCATGCCCAGCTAATTTTTATATTTTTAGTAGAGATGGGATTTCACCATGTTGGCCAGGCTGGTCTTGAACTCCTGACCTCAAGTGATCTACCTGCCTTAGCCTCCCAAAGTGCTGGGATTATGAGTGTGAGCCACCACACTGGCCTAATGCAAGTAGGTTTTATGTGCAGGAGAGCCTGAGAGATCCCAAGATAACTGTATACAAAAGGGGAGAAAAGAGGTGATGAAACAGCTTTGGATCTTGACTGTGGTAGTGGTTACATGAATCTATACATGGGTTAAAATTGCATAGAACTAGTGGCCGGGCGCGGTGGCTCACGCCTGTAATCCCAGCACTTTGGGAGGCCGAGGCGGGTGGATCATGAGGTCAAGAGATCGAGACCATCCTGGTCAATATGGTGAAACCCCGCCTCTACTAAAAATACAAAAATTTAGCTGGGCATGGTGGCGCATGCCTGTAATCCCAGCTACTGGGGAGGCTGAGGCAGGAGAATTGCCTGAATCCAGAAGGCGGAGGTTGCGGTGAGCCGAGATGGCGCCATTGCACTCCAGCCTGGGTAACAAGAGTGAAACTCCGTCTCAAAAAAAAAAAAAAAATTGCATAGAACTACACACACACAAATGAATGCAGTGTTTAAAAAATAATGAAAATCGAATAAATTATGTAGTCTAATGAACAGTAAGGTACCAATATCAGTTCCAGGTTTTGGTACTATACTAGAGTCAAATGTCACCTTTTGAGGAAGTTGGGCAAAGGCTGCATGGGACTTCACTATTTTTGCAACTTTCCATAAGTCTATAATTCTTTCAAAATAAAAGGCTCACTTTTGGCTTGTAATCACAGAATATTTCCCTTGATTCCTGTATTTTTCTAGAATCCTCTGGCTTTCTGTCATTTTTGAATTTAAAAACTCTAAAAACCTTTCAGCAGCAATTTCCAAACATCACAGTAAAAATGTGTCAATAGGCTGGGTGTGCTGGCCAACATGGTGAAACCCCATCTCTACTAAAAATACAAGAATTAACTGGATGTGGTGGCATGGGCCTGTAGTCCCAGCTACTCCAGAGGCTGAGGAAGGAGAATCGCTTGAACCAGTGAGTCAGAGGTTATAGTGAGCCCAGATCTCGCCACTGCACTCCAGCCTGGCGACAGAGTGAGACTCCATCTCAAAAAAAGTCTCAAAAAAATTTGTCATTCATGTTACCAACATGCTATATAATTGATACAACTTTTGCACGTTTTTGGTTTTTTTTTAGACAGTTTCAAGAAAACTCCAGCCCAGGCTGGAGTGCAGTGGCATGATCTTGGCTCACGGAAACCTCTGCCTCCTGGGTTCAAGCAATTCTCCTGCCTCAGCCTCCCCAGTAACTGGGATTACAGGCATGCGCCACCAGGCCTGGCTAATTTTGTATTTTTAGTAGAGACGGGTTTCTACATGTTGGTGAGGTTGGTCTCGAACTCCTGACCTCAGGTGATTTGCCCGCCTCCGCCTCCCAGAGTACTGGGATTACAGGCATGAGCCACTGCACCCAGCCTACTTTTGCAATTCTTAAGAATTTTACATTAGCCTTTTAATTTCCAGTTGTTGGAAACTCAAAATATAAACATAAAAAGAATTGGGGCACACAGTGGTAGTGGGAAAATGTGGCACTTAATGACTTTTTGTTCATTCACACTCAATGCAGTGGTTCTTATTTTTTTTTTTCTTTAGTGCTCTGGTTCCAAAGTTGCATAAGTTTATTTTATTTTATTTTTTGAGACAGAGTTGCTCTGTTGCCCAGGCTGGAGTGCAGTGGTGCAATCTTGGCTCACTGCAACCTCCACCTCATGGGTTCAAGCAATTCTCCTGTCTCAGCCTCCCGAGTAGCTGGGATTACAGATCCCACCACCACACCCAGCTAATTTTTGTATTTTTTAGTAGAGATGGGGTTTCTCTGTGTTGGTCGGGCTGGTCTTGAACTCCTGACCTCAAGTGATCCACCCACCTCAGCCTCCCAAAGTGCTGGCTGGGATTACAGGCATGAGCCACTTGTGCCCAGCCAAGTTTTTTTTTTTTTTTGAGACAGTCTCACTCTTGCCCACAATGGAATACAGTGGTGCAACCTCAGCTCACTGCAACTTCCATCTCCCGGGTTCAAGTGATTCTCCTGCCTTAGCCTGCAGAGTAGCTGGGATTACAAGCGCCTGCCGTCATGCCTGGCTAATTTTTGTATTCTTAGTAGAGTACTAAAAGTATTCTATTAAGAATAATTTGTTTTCTTTTTTTTTTTAAGATGGGGTTTCACCGTATTGGTCAGGCTAGTCTTGAACTCCCGACTTCAGGTGATCCGCCTGCCTTGGCCTCCAAAGTGCTTAGATTACAGGCATGAGCCACCATGCCCTGCCAAGAATAATTTCTTATTATTCTTATTATTATCAAGGCCAGGGTGGTCTCAAACTCCTGAACTCAAGTGATCCACCCACCTCGGCCTCCCAAAGTGCTGTGATTATAGGTGTGAGCCACCATGCCGGCCTTAAGTTTTGAGGGTCAGCCCCTAACCCTGTTTTTCCCATAAGCTGTGTTATGCTTACTGTATGAATTTGTAGAACTCAAGATTTTTCAGTGACTTGTATATTGTGTTACAACTGAAACATCTGTATTAAGTAAGCCAAAAACATTACAAAGCACCACGTCACAAAGGGGCAAAATAAATTCTCAAACTTATTTACTCTATTTTTTTTAAAACAGAAGAGGATAATTTAGAACTAGTTATTTATTTATTGTTTTATTTGAGACAGAGTCTTGCTCTGTCACCCAGAATGGAGTGCAGTAGCGTGATCTCAGCTCCCTGCAACCTCCATCTCTCAGGTTCAAGTGATTCTCCTGCCTCAGCCTCCCGAGTAGCTGGGGTTACCACCGTATGCCACCACACCTAGCTAATTTTTGTATTTTTATATTTTTAGTAGAGATGGGGTTTCACCATGTTGGCCGGGCTGGTCTCAAACTTATGACCTCAAGTGATCTGCCTGCCTCAGCTTCCCAAAGTGCTGGGATTAAAGGCGTGAGCTACTACGACCAGCCTAGAACTAATTATTTAAAATAAATTACTTTTAGGCCGGGCACGGTGGCTCACGCCTGTAATCCTAGCACGTTGGGAGACCGAGGTGGGTGGATAACCTGAGGTCCGGATTTCAAGACCAGCCTGGCCATGATGGTGAAATCCCATCTTAAATAAATAAATAAATAAATAAATAAATAAATAAAATTACTTTTATGTGATTTTAAAATATGTTTTTATCACAAGTGCAATGTAAGCATAATTTTTGTTTTTTAAAAATAAATATAGCAGGGCCTGGCATGGTAGCTCATGCTTATCATTCCAGCACTCTGGGAGGCTGAGGTAGGAGAAATGCTTGGACCTGGGAGTTCAAGACCAGCCTGGGCAATATAATGAGATTCTGACTCTACAAAAAAATTTTGAAAAATTAGCTTGGCATGGTGGCATGTGTCTGTAGTCCCAGCTGTGTGGGAGGCTGAGGTGTGGGATCACTTGGGTCTTGGAGGTCTAGACTTCAGTGGGCCATGATCTGGTCACTGTACTCTAGCCTGGTTGACAGAGTGAGACCCTGTGTAATATGTGTGTGTGTGTGTGTAAACACAAGGGTCTATCATATGTACATATGAGGGCAAGGAGAGAGGGAATGGAGATTTGTTGTTTAATGGTATAAAGTTGGCTGGGCGAGGTGACTCACACCCATACTCCCAGCACTTTGAGAGGCTGAGGCAGATGAATTGCTTGAGTCCAGGAGTTTGAGACCAGCCTGGGTGACATGGTGAAACCTCATCTCTATAAAAAAATACAAAAATTAGCTGGATGTGGTGGTTCACGCCTGTAGTCCCATCTATTATAATTCAGGAGGCTGAGATGGAAGTATCGCCTGAGCCAGGGTCGAGAATGCAGTGAGCTTTGTCCCACTGCACTCCATCCTGGTTGACAGTGAGACCTTGTCTCTAAATAAATAAATAAAGGAGGCATAGAGTTGGTTTCAGTTTAGCAAAATGAAAAGACTTTGGACTTTGGTTGTACAACAGTGTGAATATACTGAAACCACCAAACTGTACATTTAAAAATAATTGACATTCAATTTTGCTGGGGGTGGGGGGGTAGTGAAAAAATAAATAAAAATGATTAAGATCTTAAATTTTGTCTGGGCATGGTGGCTCATGCCTGTAATCCCAGAACTTTGGGAGCCTAAGGCAGGTGGATCATCTGAGGTCACAAGTTTAAGACCAGCCTGGCCAACATGGTGAAACCCTGTCTCTACTAAAAATACAAAATATTAACCTGGCATGGTAGTACAGGCCTATAATCTTAGCTACTGGGAGGACTGAGGCAGGAGAATCGCTGGAACCTGGGAGGCGGAGGTTGAGGTGAGCTGAGATTGTGCCACTGCACTCCAGCCTGGGTGACAGAGTAAGAGTCCATCTCAAAAAAAAAAAAAAGATCTTAAACTTTGTTATGTGTATTTTAGCACAATTAAAAGTGTGTGTGTGTGTGTGTGTGTGTGTGTGTGTATGTCTATCTTGCATTTTAAAAGTTTTGGGATATTGAGCACATTTCCAATAGAAACTTAAAATGGTGGTTAGATTATTGGACTAGTTTACAAAATCCTATTTATATTTGGTATTTGATTTGTAACATAGCTAAAAGATGACATTACAGTATGGATACGTATCTATATATACTCATATGGAGATAGGTAGCTATATATTTTTTAAACAGAAGTAAAGTTATTGAATATTCCATATATTCATCTTTTCATTTTGTTCCATTGGATTCTGACACGTTTAGTCTTTAGCTGTAAGTACTGTAACCAACAGACAGAAGTGGTATTGCAAAAGCAGAGGAGATAATAGAGAAACTTTAGTAATGTCATTACACTATAAGGCTCCAAGATCAATCCTGACCCATTTGTCAAGGACTAGCCACTTTTAAGTGTAGTGTATTTGAAAATGAATATTCATAATTCAGGGAATGCTTGTAGTAGATGTCAAGTTATAGTCTTGGGAAATATTGAAAGTTGTGAAGTAACCCTCTTTATTTGAGCAGTTGTAAAAGCAACATGTAATATTATTTGTGTCTTTTAGAATTCAGATATTCCCATACTCTTCAGTCTACAACGTGTCCTGCTCATTCTTGGCCTTTTCTTCACTGGCCTCTTGCCCTTTGTGCCCATTCGAGAACAGTTTTTTGAAATCCCAATGCCTTCTATTATACTGAAGTAAGTGGTTACTCTTTTATTTTAAAATCAGTTATCAATTACAGAAGGACTAAGATAAAAGCTCACTAATATCAATATCAATGATGAAGAAGAGATTTCTGTAGTGATTTTCATGTTCTATCACCTGACCTATATTATGAACTTTTATATAATTAAGACACATTCTCTAAAACAAATAATTAGGACCCAGTTTAGATTATAATGATTTTCTGTGCCTGTATAGTCAGAAATCAGATAAAAAGAATTTAGTTTAATTACAGAAAGTCAATAATTCTTTTATTCTCACATCAAATAACAGTTGCCCTCCACTTTCCCTTACTACTTTCTACTTCATTGACAGCTTTACCCAGCTGAAACTCCATTAAACTCCAAATTAAACAACGATATTACTGTAATACATTTAGGAAGAAAAACCACCACCCCCACTACCATAAAAACCTCTGGAGATAGGAAAAGAAAAGCTCATATAGGATACCTCTTTTTTTGAGATGAAGTTTCGCTCTTGTCACCTAGGCTGGAGTGCATGGTACAATCTTGACTCACTGTAACCTCTGCCTCTGCCTCCCAGGTTCAAGCGATTCTCCTGCCTCAACCTCCCTATTCTATTGACAAAACAATAGAAAACTCTTCTTATCTACCAAAAACAGACCCTATTTTATTTGCTAGATTAAACTGATCCTTAATCATTTATTCCTGGCCAAAAGAGGTGGCTCATACCTGTAATCTCAGCATTCTGAGAGGCCACAGTAGGGGATCACCTGAGGTCAGGAGTTCCAGACCAGTCTGGCCAATGTGGTGAAACTCCATCTCTACTAAAAATACAAAATTAGCTGCACTTGGTGGCACACACCTGTAGTCCCAGCTACTCAGGAGGCTGAGACAGGAGAATCACTTGAACCCCAGAGGTGGGGGTTGTAATGAGCCGCGATAGTGCCATTGCACTCCAGCCTGGGCAACAGAGCAAGATTCCATCTAACAATAAATAAATAAACATTTATTTCTAAACTACTTAGCTTTCCTCGGGCCTGGAGTAGTCTGTTTGCTCTATATTTATCTTCGTGTTTTCCTTTTAGAAGCAAGTATTATTGAAATACAGACATAAGAACAAACTCTATAGAATTAATCTTTTCTCTAAAAAGTGATTATGGATTAAGACACAGGTAGGATATCTTTTGTGTGTTTTAATACTTCTATGGAAAACAATGGATACTTCCTAAGACAATGTGTGATTGTTTAACGAGGTAATCAGTATTTGAGGTACTAAGTCTTTAAGATTCCTGAAATTGCAGCCAGGACTTTCCATTGGGGCCAGAGTTAGGGGAAAAAGAAATTGTACTTTATTTAGCCCTTTTTTTTTTTGGAGATGGAGTTTCACTCTGTCGCTCAGGCACAATCTTGGCTCACTGCAACCTCTGCCTCCCAGGTTCAAGCAATTCTCAGCCTCCCAAGTAGCTGGGATTACAGGTGCCCACCACCATGCCTGGCTAATTTTTCTCTATTTTTAGTAGAAACAGGGGTTCACCATGTTGGCCAGGCTGGTCTCGAACTCCTGACCTCAAGTGATCTGCCCACCTTGGCCTCCCAAATTGCTGGGATTACAGGCATGAGCCAACATGCCTGGCCCAGATATACATTTTTTTTTGCTGAGATGGAGTGTCATCTCATCACCCAGGCTGGAGTACAATGGCTCGATCTTGGCTTACTGCAACCTCTGCGATTCTCTAACCTCAGCCTGGGATTACAGGCATGTGCTACCACGCCCAGCTAATTTTTTTGTAACCTTAGTAGAGACAGGGTTTCACCATGCTGGCCAGGCTGGTCTCAAACTCCTGACCTTGTGATCTGCCTGCGTCAGCCTCCCAAAGTGCTGGGATTGCAGGCATTAACCACTGCACCCAGCCCAGATATACTTTTTTAGTAGTAAAGATAATTATAGGTGGGAGGCAGTGGCTCATGCCTGTATTTCCAGCACTTTGGGAGGCTGAGGTGGGCTAATCACTTGAGCTAAGATGGGCTGATCACTTCAGCCTAGGAGTTTGAGGCCAATCTGGACAACATAGGGAGACTTCCATCTTTACAAAACATACAAAAATTAGCCAGGCATGGTGGCATGGGCCTGTAATCCCAGCTATTTGAGAGGCTGAGGTGGGAGGATTACTTGAGCCCAAGGGTTCAAGGCTGCAGTATGCTGGGATTGCACCACTGAACTCCAGCATGGGCAACAGAGTAAAACCCTGTCTCAAAAAAAAATATATATATGTGTACACACACACCACATATACATATATGTAATTTTAAAATGATAATTACAAAGGACTGGGTCTAGGTCTGCAGATTTTTTTTTTTTGAAACGGAGTCTTGCTCTGTTGCCCAGGCTGGAGTGCAGTGGTGCTATCTCGACTCACTGCAACCTCTGCCTCCTGGGTTCAAAAGATTCTCCTGTCTCAGCCTTCTGAGTAGCTGGGATTATAGGTGTGCACCACCATGCCTGGCTAATTTTTATGTTTTTAGTAGAGACAGAGTTTCACCATGTTTGTCAGGCTGGTCTGGAACTCCTGATCTCAGGTAATCCACCTGCCTAGGCCTCCCAAAGAGCTGGGATTACAGGCATGAGCCACCACGCCTACAGATATTTTAAAGGAAAGGAAAACATGCAGTAAATAGCTCACTTTAATCTATAGTACAGTTTCGTTGTATGTTAAAATCTACCACATACTAAATTGTAGCAGACAAAGCAGGAGAAAGATTTCACCAAAAAATAAGAGATGTGAACCCAGGGCACCAGGGTCTCTGGAAAGACATTCATTTATTTATTTTTAAATTTATTTATTACTTTTGAATAGGGATAGCAAAAAATTAGCTTGAAACCAGTGGAAACAGAACCCAACAGGACTTTATTTTGTTTTTATCCTTTTTACAAATATTTTTTGAGAATATACAAAGTACAAGGCACTGTTTTCATTTTTGAATTTGTTTTATTGTATCACACTGATATATTCTGTGTTTCTAATTTGTAATTCAAACTTTATTTTACCCTAGGCTAAAAGAACCACACACCATGTCCAGAAGTCAAAAGTTTCTCATCTGGCTTTCTGATGTGTAAGAATTTTAGTTTCTTAATATGCAAATTATTGCTTCAGCTATATTTATTAAATACTACACTTAAAATTTAGTGCAAGCTTTCCACATGTAATTTGTAACAAAGACAAATTGAGTACCTACTATGCAAAATGTATATGAATCATTTAGAACTATCTTAATAACTAATCACAAAACCTTAGAAAGAATCTTGAGAGATAATCTTGTCCAACTTCATGAGAAAAGTGAGCCCCCATATACCCAGTTAAATTATTTACTTGGGGTTGTCTAGCTAGTTAGTAGCAGAACTATAAATAACCATTCCCTTTTGCTTACTTGCTGTTTCCACCAAGCATGGTGAAAAGAAGTATTGCAACACAGTATGTATAAAAGTGTGTGTTGCCTACAGCACATTTCTCGGAAAAATCTTCTGCACCAAGACTTAACAGCAGAAAGGAAATCCCATCGATAGAGTGAATATCAACTTTAAAGAAAATGCCTTAATTTAGACATGTTGGGTTTAATTTTAGTAAAAATCACAATATAATTGTACTATATTTTGCTTTAAGGTGGAACCTTGAATGCTTAAATATTTTAATAGTCCCAAGTCACAACTTTTTATTATTTAACACTTTTTTTTTGAGACAGAGTCTCACTCTGTTGCCCAGGCTGGAGTGCAGGGTAGCGATCTCGGCTCACTGCAACCTCCCCTTCCTGGGTTCAAGTGATTCTTCAGCCTCAGCCCCCTGAGTAGCTGGGACTATGGGCACCTGTCACCATGCCTGGCTAATTTTTGTGTGTGTGTGTGTTTTTTTTTTTTTTTTTGTCCACAGCGAACATCATATAATTTTGTACTTTTTAGTAGAGATGAGTTTCATCATGTTGATCATATTGGTCTCAAACTCCTGGCCTCAAGTGATCTGCCCACCTCAGCCTCCCAAAGTGCTGGGATTACAGGTGTGAGCCAACACAACGAGCCTTACTGCCTTTTTCAGAGTCTTAAACAGTTAGTTTTATCTTTTCTCTGTGCCAGTGTTTTTTATTTTTTGCTTTATTCCTGATTTAAGCTCCGGTTTTCAAGGATGCATTTTTTGTACTCCTCAAATAAAACCAGGATGCATTTTTTTTTCTTTTTTCAACCCTATTAACTGACAAGGATGCATTTTTTAATTGGTGTTAAGAGCACATGATTTGTACTTTCTGTTATTTAATGATTCTAATAGATATAACAGAATATAAATAATGTATGTCTTTCCAGTACAATGAATTCCTATCTTGCTCAAGAGATTTGTATTCTGAAAGTTCACTTATCAGTGAGTTGCTTGAAACAAAAAAATGTTTTTTTTCCTAGACATAGGATAGTATAATTAATGGATATAATGCTTCTAACATAACTTATAAAAGACAAATCCATTATGTAACTGAACTATGATGTTAATAGAAATTGACCTGCATTTGCTGACTTATTTTAACTTGGAAAGTCAGGAACACATATTAATAGTAAGAAAGGAAAGCCAGCTCTTTCTCCTTCTTCAGCAGTGAAAATGAGGGAGTCTCTTTTCCATTGAGCTGTGTCAACAAGAATGAGTTTCCTACGAATCTGGTAACAACAAGGAGTGAAAAGGAGTTCTGATTGTCCACCAACCAGCAGCCCGCAGTGAAAGGAGATCCAGCAATTAAGACATAAATTAATTCACAGCAGCCAGTATTACTTGAGACCATTTATTTTATTGCTGAAGCATTGGAATTAAACTAGGAATTACTAATTCTAATTGATTCAATTAGGACTAAGGACTAAATTCCTAAAACAGTTATGCTTTTTCTTTTCTAGTTTACTAATGAGGAAAGCTTTGTTTGACCACCTAACTGCTCGAGGCATTCAAGTAAGTTTTTGGAATGATGCATTTTGGAAGCAGCATAGCTCACCAGTTTAACACGAATATAAAGAGCAAGAACTTTTATCTGACTTAGTTTGGCCCCTGACTCTGATGATGCTGCTTTACTGACCCACGAATGAGGACCTTTAAGCTCTTCGTTACGGTTAGCAATGGAGGATTAGCATTTCTGAAGCTAGATTCCTCTTATGTACAGAATAGCTAATGCCAGAGGGGTGGGACAGTGTTTGTGTGTGTGTGTATGTGTATATATATATATATATTTTTTTTTTCCTCTATTTTTTTGAGATGGAGTCTCACTCTGTCACCCAGGCTGAGTGCAGTGGTGCAGTCTCAGCTTGCTGCAACCTCTACCTCCCGAGTTCAAGCGATTCTCATGCCTCAACCTCCTAAGTAGCTGGGATTACAGGCGTGTGCCACCACTACTGGCTAATTTTTGTATTTTTAGTAGAGACTGGGTTTCGCCTTGTTGGCAGAGTTGGTCTCGAACTCCTGACCTCAGGTGATCTGCCTGCCTCAGCCTCCCAAAGTGCTGGAATTATAGGCGTGAGCCACTGTGCCCGGCCAGGACAATGTATATTTTATGAGCACAGTGAATTGTTTTTTAACATCTCTCATTTCTGTAAGGAACACAGTGGAATTTTAAAAAAGGATCTAATGATTTCTTTAAATGACAGCTTTAAAATGTTATTTCTAAATGTACCAAGATTGTAGTAGATACTGTTCTAAAAATAATTTTGTATTTTAACATTTATTCTCATACTTCTCACACTTCTAATTTTCAGGTGTATATTTGGGTATTAAATGAAGAACAAGAATACAAAAGAGCTTTTGATTTGGGAGCAACTGGGGTGATGACAGACTATCCAACAAAGCTCAGGGATTTTTTACATAATTTTTCAGCATAGAAAAAGAGGTACTTAGAAGTATTGAAAGAAAAAATGAAGACCTAAGAAAAAGATATTTCACCATTATTTCCCTAAGCCATTTCCAGAATGGTAAAAGGTTTAATCAGTTTTTAATTACCTCATTTTTAAGCCTGTATGAGAATGTAGACACTATATATTATATGTATATTTATTTTAAATAATATTGTATATTTTATGTTTGTAAATTATTTAGAAAGATAATTGGTTATGAGATGTAAGTCTTAGTTTCTTAATATGCATTTTAGTTTCTAGATCTTCTACAGAAATCTTGATTAATAACATACATAAAAATGTTACATATACTATATCATCTACAAAAATCTTGATCAATAATCTAGAAACTAGATTATCTTTTATTAAAAGCAGATTTAATAAAAGATTTAAGATGGAACCTTGAATGCTCAAATATTTTAATAGTCCCAATTACAACTTTTTATTATTTAATGCCTTTTTCTTTTCTTTTCTTTCCTTTACTTTTTTGAAACACAGTATTGCTCTGTCGCCCAGGCTGGAGTGCAGTGTAGCGATCTTGGCTCACTGCAACCTCCATTTCCTGGTTTCAAGTGATTCTTCTGCCTCAGCCTCTAGAAACGAAATTATCTAGATTGTTGATCAAGATTTCTATAGATGATGTAGTGTTCTATTATAAGTAATTCTGGAATCAAAGACTATTGGATACATTTGGCATTGGGCCACGTGCGGAGGCTCACACCTATAAATCCCAGCACTTCAGGAGGCTGAGGTAGGTGAATCACCTGAGGTCAGGAGTTTGAGACCAGCCTGGCCAGCAGGACAAAACCCCGTCTCTACTAAAAATACAAAAATTAGCCAGGCGTAGTGGTACACATCTGTAATTGCAGCAACTTGGAAGACTGAGGCAGGAGAATCGCTTGAACCCAAGAGATGGAGGCTGCAGTGAGCCAAGATAGCTCCACTGCACTCCAGCCTGGGAGACAGAATGAGACTCTGACTCAAAAAAAAAAAAAAAAAATTGGCATTAGCCTTCACTGGAATACAATAACTAGTTAGTAAAAGGTTTTTGTTTTTTTTTTTACTTTGACACAGAATCTCGCTGTTTCACTGAGGCTGGAGTGTAGTGGTGCAGTCTTGGCTCACTGCAACCTCTCCCAGGTTCCAGCAATTCTCCTGCCTCTGCCTCCCAAGTAGCTGGGATTACAGGCATGCCCGCCACCAAGCCCGGCTAAGTTTTTGTATTTTTAGTAGAGACAGTGTTTTGCCATGTTGGCTAGATGGGTCTCGAACTCCTGACCTCAGATGATCCACCTGCCTCGGCCTCAAGGTGCTGTGATTACAGGTGTGAGACACCACAGCTAGCCAGTAAAAGAAAATTTGAAGGCCATTGCAGCTATTTGGTAGTGTAGTGTCTTGTTATTTTTAAGTACATCTTAGTTAAAGGGGAAATATAAAATGGAAGAAGAGCTTGGAAATCAGTGATGTGTAGTTATCTGGCAAGTTATACATAATTAGCAGCGGTCAGGCTCAAGAAAATAAAAATTGATTAGTTGATCAGAAATAAAATCCTGTAGAGTGAATTAGATTTCTGAGTTGCTATTGTTAATGGGAACATTCTATTTAAGACCTTTTTCAAGTGTGTAACAATTCTACCATGTCCCTTTTTTTAAGCATTAAAAGTGAACTTATCAATTGTAAATTAAGACAAGATCCAAATAGTCATATTTTTGTGTTTCCTCTAAAAAAATGTAAGATTTCCAATTTTGGCATTAACTAACTGAGCCTACATCTAGATTTTAAATACCATCTTGAATCCTAATAATTATAGTAAACAGATGAAAGTGCATATCATTGTTCCTAACACTTAAAAACCCCCATAAAGATGTTCCTGATCCTTAAAATTCATTTGAGTATTCAGTAGAATTTTCCAAAGCATTAGACATGACTTTCTCAGTTTATCTGAGGCGACTTTGTGCAAATCTATTTTTAATATATTTGATTAATTTTTATGATCTCAGATTGTGAGGTGAATATAATCATGAATAATAAGTGTCTTTTACCTAGATTACATCTCTTGTTTGTAGTTCAGCAATGAAAGAGCTATGAAGGATGACTGTACTCTCCCTCTGTTCCTGGATGACATAAATATCATTTGCTTTGTTGTTTAAACTGAAATAAAGTTTTCCAAGAACAAAGTAAGGGTTCTTGATTTTTTTTCAGTTTTAATTCCAAATGTGCTTTATAGGTTTTTTTTGCAGAATTTAATGAGGTGTGCTTTAATCATATGAATAATAAATGCACCTTAGATTTCTCTCTAGTAAAGAAAATAAAAGAAAATATGGAAACACTTTCATGGTAAGAAAGTTGCTTTTTGGCATTTGAACAAATAACTTGGGCGGGTAATCCCTAGAATCAGTCATTTTCAACTTCACTTATTGTAACTTATGGTTATAGTTGCTAAGGATCATTTTGATCATCTTTGATAGAATTACTTTATTATTCTTTGTAAATTTTGCTTTGTTATGATTCAGAGTAGATCATATTAAAGGACCAGCTTATATTTTATGTAAACCAGTAGGAGAAAAAGCATCCAACAAGGTAAAGTTGTTTTTTTTTATTGTTTTTCAGCAGACTATCAAATGTCCTTTAATTTCACAGATGACAATATGATACATACTGTGTAAGAGTGCTGGGATAACAGGTATAAGCCACTGCACCTGGCAGAGGTATCTTTTTTTATACATACTCCAGGGAAGGATGGGAAGATAAGTATCAAAGACTGGGATGGGCCGGGTGAGGTGGTTCATGCCTGTTATCCCAGCACTTTGGGAGGCTGAGGAGGGCAGATTACTTGAGGTCAGGAGTTTGAGACCAGCCTGGCCAACATGGTGAAACCCCATCTCTGCTAAAAATACAAAATTAACCAGGCATGGTGGCAGTCAACTGTAATCCCAGCTGAGGCAGGGGAATTGCTTGAACCCAGAGGAGGAGGTTGCAGAGAGCCAAGATCGTGCCATTTCACTCCAGCCTGGGCAAAAAGAGCGAAACTCTGTCTCAAAAAAAAAAAAAAAAAAAAAAAACAGACTGGGATGATTTGCACTTGAAAGAAGATAGAATAGTGAAATAGACTAGTGTGGTCTCTTACTCTTCTTACAGGGACATCAGTCCTGTAGCATTAGGGACCCACTCTTATGAATTCAGTTAACCTTAATTACCTGCTAAAGGCCCAGTCTTCAAATACAGTCATACTGGGGGTTAGGGCCTATACATATGAATTTGGTGGGGGAGAATGGGAGGCACAATTTAGTTCATAACAGATGGGGATGCGGTCAAAGTGGAGAGCTGGAGATTGGTGATGTGAGAGAGGAGGCAGAGATGGGAAAGGGAAAAGGAAGCACCTGTAGCTGACCAAGGAAGGGCGAGGATAAAGACACCTAGTGTAACTAGGGAGTGTCAGAAAGAAGTTGTGTATTTCTTTGTGTCCTAGGATACTTGGAGATTTAGAGTATTGTTTGTTACAGACAATCTAGATCACTAGGGGAAGGAAATAAACTTTTCAAAGGTTTAAATTCTGTTTTTTTTGAGACAGAGTCTCACTCTGTCACCCAGGCTGGAGTGCAGTGGCATGATCCCGGCTCACTGTAACCTCCGCCTCATGGGTTCAAGCGATTATTCTGCCTCAGCCTCCCAAGTAGCTGGAATTACAGGCGTGCATCACCATGCCCGGCTAATTTTCGTGTTTTTAGTAGAGATAGGGTTACACCACGTTGGCCAAGCTGGTCTCGAACTCCCACCCTCAGGTGACTGCCCACCTTGGCCTTCCAAGGTGCTGGGATTACTAGCGTGAGTCACCACACCCAGCCTCAAATGTTTAAATTCTGATTAAACTTCTAGGGGACAGTGAGTTTGAAAGTTTGGGCATTGTTAAATAATGGTAAATGTTACATTTATGTGGTTTAAATTTTTATTCACTTTTACATGTATTCCTGTGTACTACAACCTGGTAGAGTGGTTGAGATTATTACCTTCCTGTTTTTTACGTAAAATTGGAAGTTAGATGATACCTTCAAAGGGAATTTACAGGGTCATTTGGCTAGAAGTGGTGTGGTTGGGTCTCCTTAACCTTCCCACCCACTCTGACTTTTCTAATTTGTCTTCTATTCACATTTCAGTGGTGAAAGAAATGTAAAAAGCCAGGAGAAAAGGCAGTTGCAGTGTTATGCTATAAAAGTGAACTTTCCAAATAAAAGCTACAAGACAAAAATTTCCATATGTTAAGTGTATTTACTGCCCTCTGATTTAAACACTATTAATAGCACTTGTGGATATAGGCATCAAGTTGCTATTCCCATGAATAACTGAAACCATTGCCTGTGGGAACAGATGGAAACCGATACCACTGCCTTTTTGAGAAATTAAGCAAACCTCAGGTAAGAATATTAAACATTTGTCCTTCAGTACCCAGAATTTGTTTGGCTTATACAACTAGATAGATTAATAGTGGGGTTATTTGCTGAGATGGAGAAAACTGAAAAGGAAACATTCCAGTGGGAATGTCAGTTCACGTTTTGAGAAATATTATCATCACTTTTCGGCCTTTGGGCTAAGATCAAATGAGAAACATTCCAAGCCCAAGTATGCATACTTTAAACTCTACAACTCCAATCCTACTTTGAAGGAAGGGATTAACGTTTATTTTCTACCTTTGTATGCCAGGTGGCATCATCTTATTTAATCTTCACCATAGTCTTGTGAGATTAGTAATATTTCTGATTTATAAATGGGGAAATAGAAGATCAGATAGATTGAGTGACTCACAAAATCGCACAGCTAGTAAGGACACAAACCTGGTGTTCAAACCTAAGTTGTTTTTTTTGTTTGTTTGTTTGTTTTGAGACAGTTTCGCTCTTGTTACCCCGACTAGAGTGCAATGGCACAATCTCGGCTCACCGCAACCTCCGCCTCCTGGGTTCAAGCAATTCTCCTGCCTCAGCCTCCCAAGTAGCTGGGACTACAGGCGTGCGCCACCATGCCCAGCTAATTTTTGTATTTTTAGTAGAGATGGGGGTTTCACCATGTTGACCAGGATGGTCTCGATCTCTTGACCTCGTGATCCACCCGCCTCGGCCTCCCTAAGTGCTGGGATTATAGGCGTGAGCCACCGCGCCTGGCCTAAGTTTTTCTTTTTTTTTCTCCCAAGATGGAGATTTTGCTTTTGTCGCCCAGGCTGGAGTGTAGTGGTGAGATCTCGGCTCACTGCAACCGCTGCCTCCCAGGTTCAGGTGATTCTCCTGCCTCAGCTTCCTGAGTAGCTGGGATTACAGGCACCTGCCAAATACCTGGCTAATTTTTGTGTTTTTAGTAGAGATGGGGTTTCACCATGTTGGCCAGGCTTGTCTCGAACTCCAGCCTTCAATCCTAAGTCTTGAGAGAGCAAGTTCAAAGCTGTTTTCACCACACAGTGCTGCTATTCTTTCTCCATAACCTTTGTCAATGAACTTCTTGAATAAGATTATGGAAAGAGTGTCGTAAAAGAAATAAAATTTGGTCAGGTGCAGTGGCTTATGCCTATAGTCCCAGCACTTTGGGAAGCCGAGGCAGGAGGATTGCTGAAGGCTAGGAGTTTGAGGCCACTTGGGCAACATAGACTCCATCTCTACAAAACTTTTGGTAGAGGAGTCTCTACAGAGACTCTAGAGAGATGGAGTCTCACCCTGTCGCCAGGCTGGAGTGCAGTGGTGCCATATTGGCTTATTGCAATCTCCACCTCCCAGGTTCAAGTGATTCTCCTGCCACAGCCTCCTGAGTAGCTGGGTCATGCACCACCACGCCTGGCTAATTTTTGTATTTCTAGTAGAGATGGGGTTTCACCATGTTGGTCAGGCTGGTCTCGAACTCCTAACCTTGTGATCCACCCGCCTCAGGCTCGCAGAGTGCTGGGATTACAGGCATGAACCACCATGCGCCTGGCCTTTCTAGAAAAAAAACAATTAAAAAAATTTAAAAATTAGTATTCCTAGCAACTTGAGAGGCCGAGGAAGGTGAGGCTGCCGTCAGCTCTGATCACATCACTATACTCCAGCCTGGGCAACTCTCTTAAAAAAAAAAAAAGTAAGAAGCTGGGTGTGGTGGCTACCCAGGCGTATGTAGTGGTATGATCTTGGCTTACTGCAGCCTCTGCCTCCCAGATTCAAGCAATCTTCATCCCTCAGCCTCCCAAGTGGCTGGAATTACAGGATTCTGCCACCACACTGGGCTAATTTTTATATTTTTAGTAGAGACAAGGGTTTCATAATGTTGACCAGTCCGGTCTTGAAATCGTGGCCTCCCAAAGTGTTGGGAGCCACCGTGCCTGATCAACATTGTTATTAAAACTACTCCTAGTTGGCCTCAGTGGCTCCAGCTTGTAACCCCCAAACTTTGAGATGCAAGGTGAGAGGATGACTTCAGCCTTGGAGTTTGAGACAGGCCTCGGCAACATAGGGAGACCCCATGTCTATAAACAAAACAAAACAAAACAAAAAAAACAAATCTCACATGGAGCAAAGATTTAAATATCAAGAAAATGAAACAATAAAAATTCTTAAAAAAAAAAATAGGCCAATGTGCTGGGTGCAGTGGCTTATGCCTATAGTCCCAGTTATGAGGGAGGCTGAGGCAAGAGAATTGCTTGAGCCTGGGAAATGGAGGTTGCAGTGAGCCAAGATCATGACACTACACTCCAGCATGGCCAACAAGCGAGACTCTGTCTAAAAAAAAATAGGCTGATGCCTGGGCATGGTGGCTCACACCTGTAATCCCAGAACTTTGGGAGGCCGAGGTGGGTGGATCAACTGAGGTTGGGAGTTTGGGAGCAGCCTGGCCAATGTAGTGAAACCCCATCTCTACTAAAAATACAAAAATTAGCCGGGCGTGGTGGCAGGTGCCTGTAATCCCAGCTACTAGGGAGGCTGAGGTGGGAGAATCACTTTAACCTGGGATTGGGAGGTTGCAGTGAGCCAAAATCAGAACATTACACTCCATCCTGGGGGAGAGAGCAAGACTCCGTCTCAAAAACAAAACCAAAAAACGCTGAATTGGCCAGACACTGTGGCTCATGCCTGTAATCCTCATACCTTGGGAGGCAGAGGCGGGAGGATCACCTGAGGTCAGGAGTTTAAGAGCAGCCTGGCCAATATGGTGAAACCCCATCTCTACTAAAAAATACAAAAATTAGCCAGGTGTGGTGGCATGCACCTATAGTCCCAGCTACTCAGGACACTGAGGCAGCAGAATTTCTTTCTTTCTTTCTTTCTTTTTTTAAATACAGTGGCTTTATTTCCATTGTTTATAGTCCCCAGCATCCCATCTGATAAAAACCTTCAACTCTATGAACAAAAATATTTCAAGAAAGTATGTTACACGATAGTACATATAAGTAATAGTTGGGCAGAATTTTATCAACTCTAGAAGTTCTTACCCCCAAAAAACAAATTTTAAAATTCAAAAATAACAGCTTTATTTAACATGTTACATCTTAACATTTAAAATACCATGCTCTAGTTAAATATTTCAACAACACTGTATACAAATAAAATATTACACAGAATATATTTAAGAAAATGGTTTGGTGTTTGATCTGAACAATAAATAAAAACAGGCACTTGTACGTTGACAGGAAGCAGTTACTACTCAGAATAATAATCTTGCATAAGCAACATGTGAGAATATGGCAGTAATAAATTCTGGAGTTTTAAACTGACAAACCACCTATGCAAAAGTCTGCAACTTCAATCTTTTCACTCAAGTTCAAAAGTTACATTCACTTTCCTGGTCCAAATTGAAAATTCACAAACACGGTATGGTTGTTCCGGACAATTCAATCTTCAGTTGATCATTAAGGAATCATACTAATTATTTTCAAATACTAAAATTAGCTTATGATATGACTCAGCAAACCAAATACAAGAAAAATTAAACCCTCTTTCTCCTTATTATGACCATAAGATCAAAACAAGATAAATTAGATGAGTGTCAGAGAATGATTCTCATTTTGCAAAATTAATTAACACAAGAAAATACTGTTGGGGCAGCAGGAAATTTCCACAATTAAAGTGAATTCCACAACTGAAAATTAAAGTGTCAGTTTTCTAGACAATTTAAAATTTATCCAAATCCCATAAAAATAAACTTAATTCCATTCACAAAAACCACCGGATCATGTTAACAGTCTTTGTAGCCAATAGGCTGATAAACACCTGAACTGCAGATAAATCGGTCATTATTATGGGAAGTAGGAATATTATAGAAGAGGGTAAAACAAAAACAACTTAAAATGGTAAAATTCCAGAAACATGATTTCAGATAAGAGGGGACAAGTTTGAAGGAAGTGTCTCTGTAGTTCCACATAAGAATGTCTTGGTGCTTCTCACTCTCAAATTTCAGCATATCTGAAAGGTCGGGGTGGTTGTCCTCTGGGGGTGTCTGGCCCAGCAGGAAGACTCGCCCCACCGTTTGGTTCCCCGCGTTGCTTTCTCGGCCCCAGGATTCCCGAATGGCTTGCCTTCTGGCAAAGTGTGGAGTGAGGGATTTAATCGCCAGCAACAAGAAGGGTTTCTTTGCACACTTTTCCGGCTTTTCCGGCTGATCTATAAGCAGTGAATAATTGCAGCATCTCAAATACAGCGGAAAGTCTTTAAATCTGTCCAGCAAGTTGTTAAAACCCGTAACCACAGACGTGACCCTCAGGTCAGGTTTGCAGTATTTCAGATGGCTTACACTGGAGAGCCTGCCCGCCTCCTCCTTCTGGTTGGCCAGCATGCTCAGGATGGGGTTGTACTGCCGGTTCAGTTTCTCTTGCTCTTGGTTCCAGTATGCCTCCGGAGGGGTAGATATCTTCCAGAACTTCTCTTTGGGTATTATTACTTCTCCTTTTCCATTTTTTTCTTGGCTACTGCTTTTGGAGACTTCCACAATCAAATAAATGAAGACATTTGCCATTATCAGGATACCCAACAACTTTATTCTTCCACGTCCAACACTCATTTCTCATATCTTGTCCGGGAGCAGCTCCAGCTCAGCGGGGCGGGGGCAGGGGCCCGAGATCGCGGCCGCATCCAGGTACCTGCTGCGCGGCTCAGCCCGGCTACTGCCCCCGCTCACGCTCCATGCGTGGTGCCCTGGCCGGGCGGCCGGGCAGTGGGACAGCTCCGGCTCGGCTCTGCTGGCCTCCGGCACTTGCCCTCGCTGCCGCTGCGCCTCACTCCCCAGCAGCAGAATATCTTGAACCCAGGAGGCAGAGGTTATTGTGAGCCGTTATGGCGCCACTGCACTCCAACCTGGGTGACAGACTGAGACTGTCTCAATATAAATAAAGAAATAAATAATAATCAGCAGTCTTTGAAAAACACTTCGAGGAGGAAAGAACTTTGACTCCAGGTGCGGAGAACAGGTTGTAAATGCAACTCTGCTTATACGGGCCCAGTTCTGTCTGATGTTGCCCAACCCGATAAACTGGAGTCAAAAATAAACCTTCCAGATCTTCCAGTTGAGACTTCACTGAATAAGAGCTACATTTGCCCTTGGATACAAGTACAAAGAGGGGACCTAGGGCCACTAGCTTTTTCAGGTCTCTAATCCTGAGGTTGAGCAGAGGTATCAAGGGTTGCTGTTTCAGTTTCTTTAAGGCAATCAGAGGCCAAGACGAAAATGGTTCTGTGATACAGTTTGAAGAAGAACTAATCTGGGGTAGATAACTTTCTTCATAGGTGGTGCAGAGAGCTTTTTATTGTTTATACATTCAAAAATTTGGCCAGGGCCCAGCATGGTGGCTCACACCTCTAATCCCAGCACTTTGGGAGCCTGAGGGAGGCAGATCACCTGTGGTCAGGAATTCGAGACCAGCCTGGCCAACATGGTGAAAAGCCACCTTTACTAAAAATGCAAAAATTAGCTGGGAGGGGTGACGGGTGCCTGTAATCCCAGCTACTTGGGAGGCTGAGGAAGGAGAATTGGTTGAACCCTGGAGGTGGAGGTTGCAGTCAGCCAAGATGGTGCCACTGCACTACAGCCTGGGTGACAAAGCAAGACTCTGTCACACACACACACACAAATTTGGCTGGGCGCAGTGGCTCACACATGTAATCAGGAGCTGGCGCCTCCTGAATCTCCTTCCTGAAAATAATATGCTTGGTCTTGGAGAAACTCTGTGGAAGACACTATCTTTACTTAAAACAAGATCAAACCAGAAACCTTTCCACATGTGAGTCCTAAAACTGTAAACCGGAACCCTTTCATATGTAATTCCTGAAGCTGTAAACCGAGACCCTTTTCATATGTGATTTCTAAAGCTATAAACCTAAGATTCTTCCACGTGTAACATCTAAAGTATAAAAGCGTATATAAAGGCAGAACCTTCCTTTGTTAGATAAGCTGGGCTTTGGACAAATTATGCCCAGGCTCCTGGCCGAATAATAAACTATTTCCTCCTGTATTCGGTGTTCGGGAAATCTGCCGCAGCCATTCCTGCTACAGCATGATCTTGGGTCACTGCAACGTCTGCTTCCCAGGTTCAAGTGATTCTTGTGTCTCGGTCTCCTGAGTAGCTGGGATTACAGGTGTGTGCCACCATGCCCGGCTAAGTATTGTAGTCTTAGTAGAGATGGGATTTCACCATGTTGGCCAGGCTGGTCTCAAACACATGACCTCAAGTGATCCTCCTGCCTCGGCCTCCCAGAATGCTGGGCTTACAGGTGTGAGCCACTGTGCCCAGCCTCAACACCCTTTCTTATTAAGTCCCCACAGAAAACAACAATCAAAGAACAGAAAACATGAATAGTATCTGATTCTAATTGATTAAATGAATTAGTATTCCTTTTCTTTTTGGAAAAGCAATCCAAAAATCCAGGTTTTTAATGAATGCCAAGTGCTGAAGGTAAAAGCTATATACATGTAAAGTTAACCAATTTTGTCTCTGTGCTTTTCCATTTCCAATGGAATGTTGACCAGCCTGGCCAACTGATGAAACTTCGTCTCTACTAAAAATACCAAAAAAATTAGCCGGAAATCACTTGAACCCAGGAGGTGGAGGTTGCAGTGAGCCGAGATCAGGCTATTACACTCCAGCCTGGGTAATAGAGCAAGACTGTCTCAAGAAAAAAAAAAGAAAGCTCTTTTTTTTTATTTTTTGAGACGGAGTTTTGCTCTTGTTACCCAGGCTGGAGTGCAATGGTGCAATCTCGGCTTACTGCAACCTCCACCTCCTGGGTTCAGGCAATTATCCTGCCTCAGCCTCCCGAGTAGCTGGGATTACAGGCATGCACCACCATGCCCAGCTAATTTTTTGTATTTTTAGTAGAGACGGGGTTTCACTATGTTGCCCAGGCTGGCCTCAAACTCCAGAGCTCAAGCCACCCTCCCATCTTGGTCTCCCAAAGTGTTGGGATTATAGGTGTGAGGCCACTGATCCCAGGCTTGAGCTGGGAATTGGCATTTTCAGTAAAGAGCTAAATAGCAAATATGTCAGGTCTTGCAGGTTACAGGGTCTTCGCCACAAGTACTAAACTCTGTCATTATAGTACAAGAGCAACCACACATCTTACCTAAATAGATAAGTGGGGCTATGTTTCAATATATATATTTTTTTATTTGATATAATTTTCATGTGTCACAAAATATTCTTCTTTTGATTTTTTTCTAACCGTCTAAAAAATATAACATCCATTCTTACAAACAGGTTGGACTTGGCCTGTGAACCATAGTTTGGCAATCCCTGCTAAAAAGGACTGGTTAGTTCAGTTAATTAGGACCTGGTGATGAAGACAAGGATGTGGATTTAATTCTCATGTGAATGATCAAATTACCTTTGCGCTGGTGAACCTGTTGCAATCTCAAATTCCGCCCTCGTTTCTTGCTGGTAACTTGAAGATGTGGGCCATTATTGTCACCAGACGAAGCTAATGAAAGATGCCATTTCCTCATGCTTCTATTTCTAATATAGCTTACTGAGGATTAACCACACTCAGTCACTGGAAAGTTTTTCTGTTTGTGTTTTTGAGACAGTCTCGCCGTTGCCCAGGCTGGAGTTCAGTGGCACAGTCTTGGCTCTTACAGCCTCCATCTCCCAGGTTCAAGCGATTTTTGGCTAATTTTTTTTGGTGTTTTTAGTAGAGACAGGTTTTAACCATGTTAGCCAGGCTGGTCTTGAATTCCTGACCTCAAGTGATCTGCCCACCTCAGCCTCCCTAAGTGCTAGAATCACAGGCATGAGCCACCACACCCAACTCCTGGAAAGTTTTTGAATTCCACTTTTTCAGAGTAGGGTAACACAAATAGGACCATGCTCTTCTCACTCCCATAATTAGGGCAGTTAAAGGAAAACTATCTTATAAGCATTTTGGATAATTCTCGAAGAAAATAAAACAGCTGTGTTGTACAAATTTACTATTCACCTTGTACATTTTATTGACCAAGATCATATCATTCTGTGAATGCCCTAAGCAATTCCAGTAGATTTGCTCTGGGAGGAGATGAGGAGTACTTTTGTTTCCTGTCTGGATCATTTCTAAGCCTTTTGAAAGACCCAGAGCTCTATTTACCTTAACCAAGAATTGCAGAATACCTTTGTGCTGTTGTCATCTGAGAAGGCTTTAGCTTTTCTGACCTAGATTCTTTTGCTCCCTTCACACCTCTTCATTATCTGCTTTTGAAATGGCTTTGTTTTCGAGGTAAGTAACTGGCCAGGGGAAATTTGTGAAATGTGTAGAGCCCTTGGGGGAGATTTGTAAACAAAGCCACTCTTTGTCACTTATCATTATATACTGGCATTCCTCCAGTAGAAATGACTTTTTGGTTACAGGCAGAAGTAGGTTCAAGGCTGGCAAAGCCTTGTCACAAGGCATAGTTCCTAAAATGGATGTTTCGGAATTGAGGTTTGAAGGAGTGATTCCTACTTGTTTCTCTGTGTGATCGATAGAAACAAAAAGTTTGTACAGAAGACTTGGGTTCAAAAAAAGAAATACAAATTTAAAAAGGCCGGATGTGGTGGCTCACGTCTGTAATCTCAACACTTTGGGAGGCCAAGGCAGGAGAATTGCTTGAGGCCAGGTTTGAACTCCTAGTTCAAGCCCTCCCCGTCAATATAGTGAGAACCCATCTCTAAAAATAAACAAATAAATAAAATAACAAAATAAGGCCAGGTGCTGTGGCTCATGCCTGTAATCCCAACACTGTAGAAAGCCAAGGAGGGTGGATCATTTGAGGTCAGGAGTTCAAGACCATCCTGGTCAACATGGTAAAACCCTGTCTCTACCAAAAAAAAAAAAAAAAAAAAAATAGCTGGGCATGGTGGTGGGCACCTGAAATCCCAGCTACTTGGGAGGCTGAGGCATGAGAATTGCTTGAAGCTTGGAGGCGGAGGTTGCAGTGAACTGAGATTGTGCCACTGCACTCCAGCCAAGGTGACAGGGTGAGAGCCTGTCTCAAAATAAATATATAATAAAATAAAATAACAAAATTAAAAAAAAAAAAAGAATTCCTGGGTTCAGTGGCATCCTGCTGAAGTCTGAAAACTTAGAATCACCCTTGATACTCTCCCCACCCCTGTTTTTTTAACTCACTCAAGATGGAGTTTTGCTCTGTCACCCAGGCTGGAGTGCAGTGGCGCAATCTCAGCTCACTGAAACCTCTGCCTCCCACGTTCAAGCAATTCTCCTACCTCAGCCTCCCAAGTAGCTGGGATAACAGGAGCCCACCAGCATGCCCAGCTAATTTTTGTGTTTTTAGTAGAAACGGTGTTTCTACTAAACACCAGACTAGTCTCAAACTCCTGACCCCGTGATCCACCCTCCTTGGCCCCCCAAAGTGCTGGGATTACAGACATGAGCCACCATGCCCGGTCGATACTTCCTTTTTCTTTTTTCTTTTCTTTCTTTTTTTTTTTTTTTTTTGAGATGGAGTTTTGCTTGTTACCCAGGCTGGAGTGCAATAGCGTGATCTCGGCTCACCTCAACCTCCGCCTCCTGGGTTCAGGCAATTCTCCTGCCTCAGCCTCCTGAGTAGCTGGGATTACAGGCACACACCACCATGTCCAGCTACTTTTTGTATTTTTAGTAGAGACGCGGTTTCACCATGTTGACCAGGATGGTCTTGATCTCTTGACCTCGTGATCCACCCGCCTTGGCCTCCCAAAGTGCTGGGATTACAGGCTTGAGCCACCGCGCCCGGCCTTTCTTTTTTTTTTTTTTTTTTTTTTTTTTTTTAATAGAGACGGGATTCCACCACGTTGGCCAAGATGGTCTTGATCTCCTGACCTCGTGATCCACCCACCTTGGCCTCCCAAAG